ATATAGATTTGGTGAGATTAGAATCTGAAAATATCGTGTTGCAAAATTTCTTATTCATCACAGCCAAAGATACATTTGTTTTTATTAGGAAGATGATGGGTGAGAATGATATCTCCTATTGAATGCCAATGATCTCCCTCCCTTTGAGGGAGTACTTTGTTCTCACATCCTTCTTTGCATTGCATTGTTATTTTGATGTCCTATATATAATCTTGTACTATACTCAAGTTGTGAACTGCTCTATGCTTTCATTCTTAAGGGAGTCTCTCGTTGTGAATTGCATTGTTCATAGTTCTTATTCTTGAATTTGCTACTAATTGAACATCACTTTTACTTTGATGCATGCCTATAGAGCATGAGTTGTCCTAATCGCTACTTAAATATGCCATGGGAGACAAGTCATCTATTTGATTGGTGGATTAACAAGCACTATGCTATATATACCATGCATGTAATTTAAATGTTGTTTTTTGTGAAAATAAATTAGCAGTAGAGGTGAGGGTTGGTAGAGAGGAATAGAAAACATATATCCTAATATAATATAATGTGACATAGAATATTTGCGCTTCAAGCAAGTCACAAAATAAGTAAAACTAGAAGTCCCATATCGATTGAATAAGAATAAGAACATTAGAGATAAGGTTATAAAGGAAAAGGGACAATATGATATACAAACCACATAACCATAGTTAATGATTCATCCAAATTGATTGAACTGGTTAATTATGGAGATTGATTTTGATCAGTCAATAGGATACCAAATATTATTAAAGGATTCTATCTTCTTCATGATGTATTAAAGGGTATTTTTATTTTTCAACTATTTGTTTAAGAATGTTCATCTTAAACTTACATGTAATGTAATTTTTTTCTTTAATTTTTGAAAATAATATGATGTACACCTGAGCATTAAAAAAGTTAACTTTGTTAGTTGATCAATAAATTACAAAAAAAAAATTAAAATTACATAAAATGACCCATCAAATTGGAAATAAGTGTCTTATAAGAAAATTAGTATCGATTAAGTTCATAAAATAATAATTGGTCAAAATCATATTATATCCTTTCACGTGGGTAAAAAATAACATTTGTATCTTATTATTTATATAATTTAGGAAACTTAATTTATATTAATTTTCTTATAGGATACCTATATGTAATTTTATGTATCATTTTATGCAATTTTTTATGTTCTTTTCTGCAATGTTTAAGTCAACTAATGATTAAAGTTATTTTTTTTAATGATAGAGTACTCTATGCACCGTTTTTAAATGTTAAAGGGGGAAATTGAATCACATAAAAGTTTAAAATAACAAATGCTTCTAAGTAAATTATTGAGGGGTAAAAATTCTCTTTAAATAACAAATGCTTGCTTCTATTAAAATACGCATGCGGAAATAGGGGTTTTCAGGTTTTGCTTTTCATTAATTATTTGATTGTTAGATATATATTTAAATAGCTTTATAATGAGTATTTTTCTCATCATAACATACTTATTGTCGTTGTATACAATTTAATTTTAATGTTTGATTGTAATAAATTAATTATGTAGTTTATAATTGAATGACATTAGTATTTTAAGATATGAAATTAATATTTCTTAAAAAATTAATTACTATTGAAACACAAATATAAGAAAATAGTGCAAGTGATTGATGTCGATGCCACCAACCCCTCTAGCTTTTAAAGAGCATTTTCATGTCTTCCAATATTGCATTTAACCTACTGCATGCTTTCACTGTTAAGCAACTCTTTTGGTGTGAATTGCATTGTAGTTCTTACCTTTGAAATTGCTACTAATTCAACAACATTTTTATTTAGATGTATTCCCATGTAGCTTATGAATTGTCCAAATCAGTACTCAAATATGCCAAGGTATTCCTCTAACAAATTCCCTGGCAACTTCTATAAAAAAAATAGAATATATAGAATTGTAATCGATCAGATATTGCAAAGCCCTGATATCTATTACCTTTCAGAATTAGGCCATAACAGAATTTCGATCTATACTAGCACCATAATATCAAATTGGGAAGGTAACTAGCACCGTCATAGATTTTAAAGTATATGATAGGTTAGGGTGTGGCAGATTTTTATGGGAGGCTTGGGAATAGGAGATGAAGGAGGTTGGAGAGAGAGATTGAGGGAAGAGATGGATCTAATTGGGGAATGAGCCAAAAAGGATTCTCCATTGTGATGAACCCCATCCTTTTCTTCCAAGACAACAAAGAGTGATAATAGTTGCCTTTTGAATCTCACTGTCTTTAGAGGAGAGAAATTATATTAGTAAAGATGGAACTAAAAAAAATTGATTAGTTTGATGTGAGGGCGTGCCAAACCATATCCATCTGTATTGAGATTGGAATTTAGAAGTATATGTTTCAAAGTTTCTTGTTCATTACAACTAAAGATATAGTTGTTTGCATTAAGAAGAAAGATATCACTTATTGGATGCTACTAATCTCTCTATCTTTATGAAGTGCTTTGAGTATGTATATTCTTAATTACTCATGTCGGTGTGATTTTGATGCTCTCTAGTCTAGTACTACACCCTAAGCCGCTCTGTGCTTTCATGCATAAGCGATTCTCTAGTTGTGAATTATATTGTTTGTAGTTTTAAAAATTGCTACTAATTGGACAACTTTATTTTGATGCATTCCCATGTAGTATGAGTTGTCCTCTTAGTTGCTTAAATATGCCATGAGATAGGTCATTTATTGGATTAGTGGATTAACAAGCACTATGCTACATATGGCATGTATGTAATTTAATTGCTATATTTTGTGGGGGGAAAAAAAGGCACGAGGAATGTTGAGAGGAATAGAAGGCATAAATCTTAATATAACATACTGCAAAGATACACGTGCTTTAGGCAAATCACATAATACGTATGACTTGAAGTCCCACACTGATTAAATAAGAATAAGAAGAGGAGAGCTAAGGTTATAAAAGAGAAGGGATGACATGGGATAGAAATCACATAACCATGGTTAATGGTTCATTCAAATTGGTTGAACTTTTAAGTTATGGAGATTGATTTTGGTCAGTCGATGGGATACCAAATATTATTAGATGTCTTTGTCTTCTTTATAATACTTGGTATTCCGTTGATCTGATTAAAATTTTTTTTCTTCACTAAAAAAGTTAACAAATGCTTGTTTTCCCTAAAAATCCAACAAATGTGTGAGGATGAGAGGGTTTTTTAAGGTTTTATTTTTAATTTATTATTTAAGATAAATTTAGATAGCTTTAGAATGATTATTTTTATAATGACATACTTGTTATCATTTTATAAATTTTAATGTTTGAACAATAAATTAATTAAAAGTTGTTTTGTTTATAACTAAGTATTTTTAATTTTTATATACATGATACTTGTTAATTGCTATAGACTCTATTACATAATGATATTTTCGAAGAAGGGAGAGAGATGATCCATTTTTGGACGGAGGGAAAGGTTGCTTTGATTCCAATAGGTGAGTGCATGGTAGAAAGAGAAGGTCCGAGAAAATTCTTTGCCAATGTTGCCACTTTGAATAGCCAAGATTTAGATGAACTTTATTCTTCTGAATTTATATTTGACCATTCTGGCTATCCAATCGGGTGTGATGGATTTTATGGGAGGCTTGGGAAGAAGAGATGAAGGGGGTAAATTAATAGTATTTATAAGGGAACAGATGGATCTAACTAGGAAAGAATCAAGAAAGGATCCTCCATCATGATAAACTCCACTCCTTCTCTTCGAGGCAACAAAAAGTGATAATGGTTGTTTTTTAAATCTCATTATCTTTAGAGAAAAAGACTGAAATCATATCATTTAATCTAATAAAGATGGAGCAGAGAAATGATTAGTTTTTAGCTAGCTAGAGTGGGCCAAACCATATATCTATGTTGAGATTGGAATTTAGAAGCATGTTTCAAAGTTTCTTGTTCATCACAACGAAAGACACATTTGTTTGTATTAAGAAGATGATAGACGAGAGGATATCTTGTGTTGGATGCCATTAATCTCTCTCTACCTTAAGGGAGTAATATGACCATGCATTCTCTTCTTCCTTCCGGTGTCATTTCGATGTCTTCTATACTACACTCAAGTTGCTCTGTGCTTTCTTTCTTCCTGAAGCGATTTCCTAGTGGTAAATTGTGTAGTTTGTAGTTCTTACACTTGGAATTGACACTAATTGAACAACATCATGTTGATGCATTCCTATGTAGCATGAGTTGTCTTAGTCATTGCTTAAATGTACTGTGGTATAGGTGATAGGTTATCTATTTGATTAGCAGATTAATAAGCATTGGGCTATATATAGCATGGATGTAATTTAATTGTTGTGTTTTGTGAAAATAAATTAGCAACAAAAGTGAGGGGGTTATTGAGAAATGGAAGGGATATAACATAATCTGATATAAGATATCTACGCTTTAGGCAAATTATATAATCAGTAAAACCTAAAGTCCCATATCGATTAAATACGAGTGAGAAGAGGAGAGTTGAGGTTATAAAAGAAAAGGGATAGCATGAGATATAAATCACATAACCATGGTTAATGGTTCGTCCAAATTGATTGGACCAATCAATTATGGAGACTTATTTTGGTCAGTCAATGGAATATCAAATATTGTTAGAGGCTTTCATCTTTTTCATAATATTTGGTATTCCGTTGATCTGATTAAAATTTTCGTTTCCATTAAAAAAAGTAAAAAAATGCTTGTTTCCACTAAAAATACAAGCATAAAGATGAGGAATAGTGCTTTTTAGGTTTTGCTTTTAATTCATTGTTAGAAATAAATTTAGACTTAGATAGCTTTAGAATGATTATGTTTATAGCTTTAGAATGATTATGTTTATAATGACATATTTATTGTCGTTTCATACATTTAAGTTTTTTTACTGTTCAAATAATAAATTAGTTGATGATTATTTAGTTTATAACCTTTTTTTTTCAATTTTCTAATTTTGTATATTTTATAGCGAGTTTAGACTTTGGAGAGAGGCCAGATTGTAACCCTGCACACGCCCACGATGTCTAGGAGTGTTCTGAGAAGTCTCTCTTTCTGTGCGCGCGAGCTCCTTTGGCATCGCTTCAATCATAACCCTAGTCATATACTTCCGCTCTTCTCATTCGATGCTTCTTCTGCTATCTCCATCGCACCCAGATTTTTCTCTTCCAGCAACAATTTGTCAGATAAAGTTTCATTCACCCAAACCCACGATAAAGATAACCCTTCTCATTCTGGGGAAGTTATTAGCAGTGAAGGTAACGACTCAAATTCAATCTCTATACTTTAACATTTGTTTCTCTTTTATTCTCATTCATTTTGGGGAATTACTCAATTTTAGGCTTTTAACATATTTGCTGTGTCCTTGTTTGGGTGCGCTTAAGATGTTTGATGAAATGCGTCTGGTGATGTTCAATGATTTTTGCAATCACCTGAATGTTTCATTATATATCTATGTACATACATATTATGATTTTGATACAATCCCCCCCCCAACCCACTCACGGTTTTAGAGTTGAAGAAGCGCATATCGAAGCTCGAGGAGGGTGATGACGGAGCTATACCTGATATCTTTGAGGGGATATTATCGAGAATATTAGCAGGGAAGCCCGAAGAAGGTCACAATGAATTGAGGAAAGATCTTTTTGGGGAGGAAACAGAGTCAGATCGAGAGGAAACAGAGTCAGCTGATGATAGTGAAGATTTAGAGCTTGATCTTGATGAGGAGGAGATGGAAGGGACCGATGAACAACAGACTCACAGAAGTTTATAACCAGTTGAGTTAGATGATGAATCTGATAGAGTGAGCACGTGTATACGTTTTGGGTTAAATTATCAGGCCTTACATTTTCGTTTCTGCTCGAATTTCACATCGTGACTAGATCACTAGACACTCTTCAATCACGAGTTTTAACATATGTGATCATATGAGGTGAATCATGTTTTAAAAAAAATAAATAAATAAAAGCAAGTTATATTATATGGGGTGAATCATGTGAATTAGAAACCTGTTGTGTTTGATTAAGTTATATATAATTATTTTACTTTTTATCAAACATGACGTGGGTGAAGCCGCCCAGGGATATATCAAGTTATAAATTACCATATTAAAAAATATTTAAAATTTAAAATATTACAATGCATATTTTTAATGAAGTTAATAATTCAAGCTAGTTAGACTTATTCAAAATCAAACATCTTGAAAAGTTTGAATGGCTCAACCTTGCTTGAATTTATTAAGGCTTCTAATGCCTTGAATATTTGCATTTTTATTTTTAAAATTGTATTTTAATTTAATTTTTTACTTTAAAATTAATTTTAAATTCATTTTTACCTCAAAATTAATTATTTTTTAAACATTTTTTAAGACACTTAAAACAATGAATAAGACTTAAATTTATTTTTTAAAAAAAATAGGTGGGTCTTAAAATCTAAATATCAATTTAAAATACATTTTAAATATTATCTTAAGATATTTTATAGATTAAAAATACTAAAAATATGACAGGATAAATATTTTTAATTTTTTTTAAAATATCTATAATTATGCACATAAATATATGATATTTTATTATAAAATAATTTAAAATTTAAATAATTAATATTTATCATTTGCGTCCGTTAATGGAGGGGGGATTTTTGCGAGGAAAAAAATATGATATAAGGTGTCTAACACTCTTTGAAGGAAAGTTTAGGAGAAAAAAATACACTTTAATCCTATCAAATTTCAAGTTTGTGATGCACTTTAGCCCTGTATGAGTGTGTTACAGTCAAAACAGCCAATGACTGATAAAGACATGAGAGAGAAAAGCAGTTCATCTAAATCACCCTGGGAACCACCAAAGCATACAAATGGAACTGAACAATGTCCACTAACAACGACCTATACCAAGCTTCAACTCCAACTGGTACCTTCTCTTTATTAGTACATAAAAAACCTCGTCGCCTGGAGCAAAATACATCATCAATGTAATCTAAATCCCTATATATATATATATATATATATGAATATTCAGTGTTCAGAAAAATATAGTTATTATGAAAGGAGACTTGGGAGGAAAACTAAAGGATAATACTTGCCTCAGTTCAAAAAGCATGGGCGGCCTGACGAAGGGACTAAGGATGAATCCCCTAGATGTTTACACGGCCATCTTCATTTCTATCTTCTGGTAAGGATCATAACCTATAAGCTTGAAATCGGAAGCCAAAAAGAATCTATATCCTTCTTTGGATTTATCTTCAAAATCTGCATTGAAATAAAGAGACAGATAAAATTAAAGTGGTGTTTGCAAATGCTGTCAGCAATTTTTAGCCAGCTATTTCAAATAAAATTGCTTCCTGAACATAACAAATATACCGGAAAAGGTTTAGGAAGGTTCCGGAGCTGCTCCTGCAAAGGTCTCACGTGATTCCGGTAAACGTGTGCATCCCCAATAACATGGATAAAATCACCTGGAACTAGCTCTGAAAGAAAAGGGCATAGCAATATAATCTGTCAGATAAGGAATGCCGATTCTTAATTCTTTTTGTTCTCTTTGCTTCTCAATAAATTTCTGAACCTTTACCAGTGACCAAAGTGGACTTCCAAACAAAACCTACTCAACTAAAAATGCAATAGAAACCCATAAAACTTGACATTACAACCAAAGAAAAGGCACAAAACATTTATCAAACCCAGAAAACATTAAAAGTTTAAAATGAATCATACATCTGACTGCACATCTAAATCCTAAGCAAATGCTTGCAAAATTCACATACCACAAACATGAGCAATCATGCATGTCAGGAGAGCATAAGATGCAATATTAAAGGGCACGCCCAGGCCCATGTCAGCAGATCTCTGATACATTTGGCAAGATAGCTCCCCATTTGCTACATAGAACTGCAAAGAAGATACAGAAATCTTAGAAAGGGAGGGACGTGGTTAGGTTCAAAGTCACTTTGTTTCTAAGACAACCCAGAGAGAACTGCACACCTGTGCAAGCATGTGGCAGGGTGGAAGGGCCATCAATTTAAGATCTGCCGGATTCCAAGCTGAGAGAATAATCCGCCGATCATCAGGACTATGCTTTATCTTGTTAATAACATCTAAAAGCTGATCAAATCCTTTGCCAGAGTAGTCAGCATGCATGTTAGTATACCTATAAGATGACATATGGATCAACTGAGCTAAAAGACCCCCACATGAAACAGTATATTTACTAAGAAAAAATTATGATCCACCTACTTGGCACCAAAGTGCCTCCACTGAAACCCATAAACAGGTCCCAAGTCACCCTCCTCCCCCTCTGCCAATCCAACACTGCAAGTTGCAAAATAATCAGTAACTACATCAAAAACAAAGTATTATCCTACAGACAAAAGCCGATAGTCAGGCCTTGCCTATCAAGGTATTCTCTGGACGCATTGCCATCCCATATATGGATGCCTTTTTCCTGCAGCACCTGTCAATAACACATGTTTCAGTAATGGAGTTCATCAACCAAAAAGTACACAGCATCAATAAATGAACGATTTACATTGAAAGTTTTGTATATAATAATTTATCTTCATGGCCTCAAGAATGGCAAGCATTGGAACCAGCAGAAACAACCATTTTCTATAGCAATTGGAAAGATTCCTTTCTCCAGGCTAGAATATAAATACGAACCCATGAATTTCCTAATGAACGGCCAGGTTCTTTAATCACATTTTGACACAGCTTATGCAGATAGCCAATAGAAATGGTTAAAGCTGTAGCAGGTATGAACTATCAACTCATGATTACACAGAAAAGTAACTTTTTAATCACCAAAGAGCATAGCAAAAGCTTCACCAAACTTGATCCTTGAGTTTAATATATGTTGTGCATTTTACATTAACACATGGAAGGCATTAGCCTAAACCTCAAATTTTATTTTCCCCCCTTGAAAGTAAACCAAGTTAAATGCTCCATTTTATCTCTTCAAAAGTAAGCCAACGAATATTGTTTTGAAAATCTTATAAGTGATAAATGGAATCTATTCATCTGTTTATAGATTAGGAGGAATTTAACATACAACACACTTTTGATTAATAATATTTTTAGAATTTATAATTAGAAGAAAGATCAGTGCTGAGCTTCTCAGATGGCTTAGACATTCCTAACCTTCTAATAACTGAATCTCTATTTGAACCCAAAGCTCAAATAATATCAAGTAAGCCAAACTTCGATTACTTAAACTAGTCATCTCAGCTTCTCAACAAGTTAACTAGGAAATATGTGGCACTCCATGCGTATACGTGCATGTGTATTCTTTGAAAATGATGTTATTACCTTGGCATTTGTTGAACCACTGATAAACCAAAGAAGCTCTTCAACAACCCCTCGCCAAAATACTTTCTAGGAAAAAAATGAAGAAACCATGTCAACTTCTAGATCAAAGCATACAACAAATATTTCTTTCCTAAAAATCCTTCGATGAAATTCAAACAAACAAAACGTTAGTAGAATCAAAACCATAGGAAAAAAAAAAGAAAAGGTAAAGTAAATTTGCAGATATCTTAACCAATACATCTGCATACCTTAGTTGTTAAAAGAGGAAAGCTTCTGCGCAAATTAAACCTCATCTGTGGATGTATGGAGAATAATAAGCCATCATATAAATGACAACCATCACTCAACAAACCAATCATGATGTTACCTGGCAACCAAATTTCGAGAAGGTGCCAGTCCCAGTCCTGTCATCCTTAGCAGTGCCTTCAGAGATGATTTCTTGGATCAGATTGAGATAAATGTTCTCTTCATGCCTCTCGAAAATCATTTTGGGAAGGAAAGAGAAGTTCTTGACCTCAAATTTTGAGGAATCTGATCCAGTATCACAAAGTTGATCAGAATTCTGACTCAGGGATTCTGCTACAGAACTCCTCACTCGTACATATGTGGTAAAACAATAGCGGATGTTGTTTTCCACCCTAGGATAGGAAGAATACCATGGCTGAAATACAGAGGAATCAACTGGAGGGATGAAAGTATCACAGTTGATATTTGTCTCAATTTCAGTAATGTGGATAGCTTCACATGCAGGTGCATTTAGAGCCTCTCTGCACAAAAAAATTATCAGCAATAAGAAAGAATTAACATGAAAGCAAAGATGGCAAAGAGGTTGGGAATTTTTATTTTTTATTTTTTTTAGGTAAAGTGGAAAAAAAATTTAATAAAATAGTATATACCTAAATATCTGGCCACCTCCTATAACAAATACTTTCTCAATTGATAGACAGTAAGGAGAAGCAGCTAACAATTCCAAACCAGAGGACATGCTTCCACATATAACAACATTCTCTGCAGTTGCAATGTCAAAGCTTCCTGAGCGAGTAAGAACAACATTAAGGCGACCAGGAAGTGGGCGATACTCAAGAGGGATACTCTCCCATGTGTTTCTACCCATTATCACTGCATTCTTCTTCCCGGGATCAGATGTCATTGAAGTGATCTCCTTAAAAAATTTGAGATCAGAAGGCAGTCTCCAGGGTAGTTTTCCATCCTTACCAATACCCATATCCCGGGTTGCAGCAACAACCACTTGGTAATTCCTCTGTGAGTTAAGATGTGAGTTCACATTGCCGTTGGACATTACAGCAGAATCACTGGCCATTATATGATTCAAAAGACGAGAAATTTTTAAAGATGTAGTCTGAAAAAAAGACTGCAACCAATTCTTTTGTAACTTGAGTAGAACCTGTTACCAAGAAAGAAAAAGATTCATACTTCAGACTGGTATTGTACATAAAATCATTCATAAACAAAGGCAGTACAGGATGAAATGGATGAAGTGAGTGATAAGCTGCGATGATAATGATCAACAAATGAATACAAAAAAAAGTTTCTGTGATCTAACATTTGAAGGCTCTTTTTGGGGACAACTAAAATTTCAAGATGCTTAAAAAGATGACTTCTTGGCAGCATAATCCAAATTTTCCAGAGGACATCCTGTAGCTAAGGTGTAAACTGATATTACATAACCATGTATGGCTTCACAACACATTAAATATGTCCCCTCCGATTCTTGCTATCCGCGTGGAAATATTTTTTATCACTTATAAAGTCGTTCGTCCACAACGACAGACCTAGAAATAATTCGAAGACAATGTAAAGTCTGAATCGTCAAACTCCTAGGCAAGAATGTTTCCCAGAATCCGCTTATTAACTTCAATTCGCATCAAGCATGCAGTACTATTGCACAAGATCCATCAATGAAAGTCAATCACATTGACGCTGGATGAATCAAAATCCAGGAATGAAAACACATGAATCAAAAAGATACAAAAAGACGGAGAAACTAAATAGAAAGATGAGGGGGAAATCATTTAAGACCCCAAATTTGAAACTATAATTCATCAATAGTTCTACCAATTCATGGGCCTTATACAAACATGGTGTAAAAGAAGGGAACTTACAAATACAACACATGCAATAGATTTAAAAACCAAACAGCCATGCGGATGATAAATAATCACCATCAGTATTCGCAGAAATGTGGAAGCGAAGAAAGACACATCAACCAGCCAAAAGAAACAGCAAAGCACCAAAACGTGAAGAGGAAGAAGGTACACACCGATCTCAGACCGAAACGCAGAAGGTAGAAAGGACTATGACCCAAAAACCTTCCGCAAAATTCCAAGCTTTATCCACTACAAGAAACAGAAACAAACACAAAAATTAAAACTTGTGAGAGTTTGGTGCAATGGGCATTGATTGAAAATGGAGAAAACCAGAAGCTGCTACTCAAGAGTGGCTGAGAAAGCGCGAAAGGGAGAATGGGGGAAATGTTTTCCTTCTCAGCTTTCGATTTTTTCCCTCTTCTTTTGCAGTGAAAAGAAGGGAAACGAAAAAGAGAAACCCGAGAAAATCTAAAACCACGGTGGACGCGAATGCCGCCAAGGGGAGAGCAGTGAGTCTCGCTCGGACTTGACTCTTGAGTGAGTATAGTATATTGAGTGCGTATATTGACTTTCTTGGTAAGTTGATTTACTTTTGGACTTTGGTGGTGAAAAATTGCATATGCTTGTAGACTTTCTTAAATGACAAAATATGCCATGAATAATGTGAAATGGTTTTTTAAGATCGATTGATATGAGTCAAAAGTGGGTTCCATAACTTATGTGAGTAAATTTATTTAAATCAAGTTGAATTCAAACCAATCTATTTAAAATTATATAATATATATTGTTGGTTGAAATTCTAGTTAAAAGTAACAATCTTGACATACAATAAATTTTTAAAAGAGAAATTTTAATAAATATCCCTCTATCATAAATAATTAAAAAGATAATTCCAAATTTTTTTGAATATTTAATATAGTTCAAAAGCTTTGAATTAAATTTAAAATTTAAAATAATAAAATTAACCTTTCTATAGTTGTTAATTTGTTTCTTATTGTGATTTATTTATTTCTTTATAAAATATTATCAATTGCCTCACTTTACTTTAATTATTTGACACATTATTTTTATTTAATTTCATTTTAAATATTGCCATGACTTGTTCATATCCCTATGAAATATTATTGATTGCCTACTTTAGTAGGAAAATGAATAGGCCAATTAATAATTGAAGTAGGATTGATTTTGTCATTTTACTTTCAATTTTAATTTCAATTCAAAGCTCTTGAAGTATAGTTAATATCCAGAATTTTTAAATTTTTTTTAATTATCTATAGTTATTAGGTCTTTATTAAAATTTTTCCTTTTAAAAAAGAAAACAAATGAACAAAAAATTATTATAAAGTAGCATTTTCGGAGAAAATCTAGAGGTACCCTCAAGGAATTAGAGCAAATGAAGGGCACCATGAGCTTGTATTTTAGTGCTCCGAAGTAGAGAGATACATATTAAATAAGTTTCTCAAATTCTTTCACTCAATTAGTATTCTATGTTTATAAAAATCTTTGATTCAATGAACGGCTGCTAAAAATATAAGCACAATATGTATAAAGAATATTACATATTAAATATCAAATTACAACAACATCTTTTTGCTATGCTCAGGGACGTAACTATATTCATAGTGGAGGGGTCAAAGTAAAAAATTTGCTATTTCATATTACAGTTACACTTGCTACCCCTTAAAATTGCAATCCCCCAGCAAAAAATTAATTATCTCACATTCTCTTTAAAATTAATCATACATTCATATTAAAAGGTTATAGTTTACTTTTTAATCCTTTTTATTTATATTTTTAATCCTTAGTTTTACACAAAATTTTATAAAATTCTTCAATCTTTTAATTTTATCGTTGTTAATTTCATCAAAAAAAATTTATATTAAACTTTTAAATATTAACAAAAAATATTAAATGTTGATATATTATATTTAATTTTGTTAAAATAATAATTATGATAAAAATAAATATTTAAAATTATCAGTATAAGGATTAAATGATTGAAAAAATACTTTGTAAAATTAAGAAACTACAGTGAATTCTTATATGTAGCTAAAGCATTAAAGATATATTTTAGCTTATTAAAAAATATTGTTTATCTTTTATTCATTAGAAAAAAAATTAATGATGAAAATGAAATTAATATATATTTTTTAATTCTCATATACTTTATTTGTATATTTTTAATTAATATTTATAATTATATTTTTCAAAAAATTATTAATAGTTCTGTTTGTTGTAAATGTTGCCCCCATTAAAAACTTTTTCTGGTCCATCACCATATGCTCTATAATTTAATCTACTAATCTATATGATAGTAAAGAATTCGTTGAAATAAATATTCATAAAATAACTTTTAAATCATTGTTTCATTAATCATGAATTTTCAAATGTTAGTAAAATTCTACTCCTGCTATGTGGATACTCACTCGGTGAGAATATTTTGAGAATATTTAGGACATTTATAAAATCTAAATCCACATAAAACCAAATAGAGGCAAAAAGAAAGTGAATTGGGTAAAGTTTTTTGAAAAAATTAATTATTTAATCATTATAGTTCTAATTCACTTGCAACCCAATCTCTAAACTTTAATTCATTATAATTCATTTTCTGAAATTTTTACTTGATTATAATTCAATTTTTAAAATTTAACTTTACAGCTTAGTCCTTACATTTTAAATAATTTAAATATTTTTTTTATATCTTTAAAAAATAAAATCATAAAGATTAAAACTATATTAAAATTTATTACTAATATTTTAAATTACTAAACCCTATTCATCTTTATAAATATTATAAATAGTAAAAGTTTAAAATATTTTTAATCTTTATAATTTTATTTTTTAGAATATGAAAATCAATATTTAAATACTACAGGGATTGAATTGCAAGAAGTAAAATTTAAGAATTAAATTATAATTAAGTTAAAACTATAATGATTGAATTATGATGAGTCAAAATTTTAAGATTGGGTTACAATTTGATTAAAACTATCAAAACTATATAATTAATTTTTCTAATTTTTTTTTCATTGAGATATACTCAACTCTGATAGTTTTATTGTTGACATGTATTTAATCTTGCCATGTTATTCGGTTAAATCCAAATATGTAAAGAAGCTTTTTTATGCCCTTCATGTGATAGGAGCTTGTGCCTTTAGGAACGCCAAAACTGAGGAGCTTTTTCGCAGGTACAGGCAAGGCTACACCTGAACAATATCCCCTGTGTATGTCCTGTGTGAATCGTCAGTAGATTAATTACTAGTGCTGTTATATGAATATCCCTTTCTCATTTGCGAACTTAACTTGATTGTTTTTCTTTTCACTTTTATATATGTTGATACACATTTCCTTAAAAATACATGTTGATGCAGTGCTAAAATGCACAATTTAATATATGACCGTTAAAATAACAGTGGCTTCATGGCTTGTGAGCATGAACCAGTAGCCAATAATAACCATTGTTTTTAACAAAAAATTGCCAAATACCAAAATAGTAAACTGAGGGGAAATGAAGGGGAATGCCAATTAAAATTTTTGTTTCCAACATTTCCGAGTAAATATGTGCAAGTTAGTGGATACCTAACTTGCTGTTCCCGATTAATAAATGATAACGCAAGGAGATTTGGAATAGCATTTTCATCACCATGAACAAAGGAGTAGTTCCAGGCCAATTTTGGGTCCATATCCAGCCTATTTACAAGGCACGTTATTAAATTTTTATTATAATTTTTTTTACTCTCTATTAAATTTTAAAGGAAGAAAATATATTATTAAAATATATATATTTAATAGAAATAAAGTTAATAATTTATTAAATTTTAAGATAGAGTTAATAAAATTTAAATTTTTTTATACTAATAAAATATATCAAAAGTTTTTTATAAATAAAATTAAAGAGTTTAACTAAAAATATAACATAATAAAATAGTACATCAACCTTTTATTTATTTATTTATTTATTTATTGTTTTGAGAAAGAGGGGTGGCTCACCGTGAGTGGAAAGAAGCTCAAAACATGGGTGCAAGATTAGGACGCTGAAGACCGAATCAGATCAACGCTTAAACCCTAGAGAGCCATGAAACGGAGTGTGCTCAGCAACGTCTCTCTCTACACTCGCAGTCTTCTCCACTCTCCTTCCACACACCGCCCATACCCTAACACCTCAATCGCCCCACTCGCCGCTTCCACTCCCTCCCGCCTCAGGTTCTTCTTCTCCGGCGACGACTCCTCCAATGAAAAACCCAGCTCTTCTACTCAAACGAGCGTCGCGCCTCCCGCGAAAAAGGATGTACTCGCCACCGTCCAGGATGTCAGTAACAAAGGTAACAACAAAGATGCCTGTTGACTGTTGTGAATGTAGTTTATCTCATCTCGGTTTTACTTAGTTTGCTCTAAACTAGTCTGAAGCAGGCCGAAGTTGATTGGATTTGTTATACTGGAAATGATGTAGATTTAAATTATCATTCCATTTCATTTTTGCAACTTACGTGTTTTTCAGTTTATGCCTCTTTAAGATAATTAGTTTAAAGTATGACAGATATATAATCTGCTAATGGGTCCGCTTGACTGGGTTTATAATTGTGCAGCTGAATTTGCTGATGAACTTTGTGCCTGTGGACTTACGTAATATATGTTCTTCCCTGTGTTTAATCATGGACTTCATACATTTGACGTATTGTGATCTAATTTTATGTCCTGCAAAATATTTAAGGATTTTTTGGTTTTTAGATCTTAAAGCACAGATAGAGAAGTACTTTGGCGGTGATGAGGAAGCACTTCCAACGATTTTTGAGTCAATTTTGCGGAGAAAGTTGGTGGACAAGCACGAGGAGACAGATGACGAGCTGCTGGATGAACTCCAGATGCAGCCACTTGATGATGTTAAAGACCAGGAATTTGAATCAGATTTTGAGGAGCTGCATGAGACTGATGATGAGATTGATGATTTATATAATGCAAGGGACGTTGTTATGAAGAGGATGGCAAAGGACGAGTGCTTCAACATGGATGAGAAAAAGTGGGCTGAGCTTGTTGAGGATGGGATTAAACATGGAGCCCTTAGGGACACAAAAGAGTGTGAGGAGATTCTGGAAGATATGCTTAGCTGGGACAAACTCCTTCCAGGTAAAACATTGTTCTTTAACTAGGCCTGCTTCTTGGGATTCTGAAAAGGTGGGCTGAGCTTGTTGAGGATGGGATTAAACGACATCAAACATGATGCATGAATGGGGATTCTGAGATTGTTTAGAAGATATCTACATCCATATCTATGATTTGAATTACTCCAAAAATTTACAAATGATTGATTGAGTATGCTATACTGATATTGAGTCATGCTGCCAAAATTGTAGATAATTGTTCTAGTCGTTACTAATTGATTGAGAGTTTAGACATTACTCCTCTTCCTAGAGGCTAGCCTTGAGTAAAACCTTGAGATGTCTTATTTTAATGTCCAATATCATGTTTGAAACAGGCATCCGTAACTTTCTTTCAGGGGTTACAGGTTACTTTATCATATCGCTTGGCTTCTGGCATGAATATCGTCACATGCCTAGATGCTTCCTTATTTTTCTGTTGATGCTTTGTCTTTGTGGCCTTGTGGGGAATGTGAAAGTCTTGAGATGTCAATAAACACTCAGCTGTGCTTGTAGTTCATGATTATGAAAAATGATGATTAGGAAAAGTAATTAACTTGGCTTCACTTCCAGTTTTAATTATCTGATGAAATATATGATATTTAAAAACTTGACATGTTTCTTTTGTATTTGATATCCTTTGGTCAGTATTGTCTGTCTTGGTAATGATAAAAGTTGTTTGAGAATTTGAGGGAGTCCTTGTTTTAATCAAAATACTCCTGAAAGGAGCTGTTTTCTGTCTATAAATTGATTGGGGCTTGGTATTTTTTTGCTAAACAGATCATATTAGAGTGGAAAAGGGATTAACGGTTTGACCTTGGTTGAATTTAATCTTTTTGCACACCTTAAATCTTAGTATGGCATTTTCTAACTTTTTCTGCATGTTCTGATAGGCAATTTTAACTTTGTTTATTCAAGCTCCATTTGATGATCTGCTAATTGTTACGTTGGGTGAAATGTCTTTTCTAGATGAAATAAAGAAGAAAGTGGAAGAAAAATTCAATCTACTAGGGGATATGTGTGAAAGAGGGGAGCTCGAACCTGAGGAGGCTTATGAACATTTTAAGAAGTTTGAGGATGAAATGGTTACTGAATACATGAAGATGGTGGAAGCGGAGGAGCTTCCACAGTTTGACAAAACTGATGTACCTGACAAGAAAAAGGACTTAGACGATCCACCAGGTGAAGGTCCAATCCTCCGGTGGCAAACTCGGGTAGTCTTTGCACCTGGTGGTGATGCTTGGCATCCAAAAAACAGAAAAGTGAAATTGTCTGTCACGGTAAAGGAATTTGGGCTTTCAAAATACCAATTTCGTCGACTCAGGGAATTAGTTGGAAAACGTTACCATCCAGGGAAAGATGAACTTACCATAACTAGTGAGAGGTGATGTTCTATCTGTGTAATAATTTACTGATTCACTACCTACTTAATTTCCCGATTCACTATCCACTTCTAACCCTTTGGTTCTTGGTCCTTTCCTCACAACATGAAAGCAGCTACAATTGTGTCTAAAATATTGTTTCCCCCTATTTTGAAGGTTTGAACACCGGGAAGAAAACAGAAAAGACTGCTTAAGGACTCTTCTCTCCCTTATTGAGGAGGCTGGGAAAGCTAACAAATTGGCAGATGATGCTCGGGCTTCATATGTGAAGGAAAGGCTTAGGGCCAATCCAGCATTTATGGAGAGGCTGCATGCCAAGACCAAGAGATTGCGAGAATCTAACCAAGTTCCTGCTTGAAACATTTCAGGTTTGAAGTTTGGTTCTATTTTTGGTACTGGGATTCCTCTTTTTTTTTTTTTTTTTTTTTACCACAAAAGTTAGGGCGGCCTGAAATAAACAACATTTTATAGACTTTGTAGGAGAATTAACTCTACAGATATCCTTCAAATATTATTTTGGAATTTCTCCATTAAGATCGTTTCATGTACATAAGTGATGATTGATGGGATGCAGGTTGGCTATAGGACGCTTCAGATGAATTTGCAATCTTGGATCCCTTGCTGAGTTGAGTTCCCCACACACTTTTAAAATTAATTAAAAGGAAGAAGACAATTCGGTTTTGATAAAAAATTTTAAAAATGAGTTCCAAATACGATTCAAGTAAATGCAAATTCAAAAGTTCTAATTGAAAATAAAACATTTAAGCTATAAATGTAACTCAGTTTGTGAAAACAATATTTACAGCTCATTTTTAACAAAATTTTGTTGGTGACCTAACTGTAATTAATTTGATCTTTCAGGACTTTATTGTCATTCTTCCAAATTAAAATACAGCATAAATGCCATTCCCCAAGGAAAAGGGATTTTTAAGATGTTTTCGCTGTTTTTTCTTTGAATGGCGGAGCTTTTTGGTAATTCTAATTTTGTATGATTTCCAATCCTTTTTCCACTCTAGCTGTTTTCGGAGGATTTATCGCCCCTCCTTTCAAGTACATCTCAATCTCTCTTTGATCTTTGGAAACACAGGTTGAGCAGGAGCATATAGAAAGTGATTATTAATTGCGCAATAGTATTAATATTTCTTTTTAATATTCTGGGTATCGATTTCTGCATCTATGGATTTCTCCTGGTGATATTGACAATATAGAGCTTGGATTGTGCTCTATTTTCAGCAACATTTCTTGCGGTGTCTTTAGTTACCCAGGAACTAAAAGCTAGATAGGTTATTGAACTCATTAAAACAGTTCAAGATTTAATTATCATTTGTTAGACCGTGATTATGGGAGGAAAATCTAGTTCGTAGTAATGGAAGAATAATACTCTCAGAAATAGAAGCTGCATGTGAAAATTATTTTGCAAGTTCAAGTTGAAAATAGAGATAATGATAGTTAGGTCTTATAATGTTGAATTAATGATAGTTAAGTTTTTGATAAAATTTTTTGAAAAATAAATTAAAAATATCAATTTAAATAATTATTAAATTTTGGAGTTTTAATTACAAATATGTATGTAATTATTAAATATACCTTTTAAATTATAATCATTTTATAGAAAATTTTAGGTAAAATTAATTTTTTAATCATTCAACTTTTAACTCACTTGTAACTCAGTCTTTTAATTATGATTGGTTGCGATTTAGTCTTTCAATTATAATTCACTATAACTCAATCCTTCAATTTTTAATTTATCTATAATTTGATTTTTATTTATTAATTTTTTATAAAAATTTCTTATCAAATAAGAGGAATAAAAAAAATGTTCATATATTATTTTAAAATATCTTTCTCTTACTCATTGACGTGAGATATAAGTTAACATGAAAAAAAAAGTTAATAAAAGTTCATGAACTAATTTGTAAGTGATTCAAAAGTTGAGGGATTGAATTATAATAAATCATAGTTGAGGGACTGAGTTATAAGTGAATTAAAAGTTGGGGGATTAAAAAATTAATTTTTTTTAAAATTTTATTAAAAATTTAACTGTTATAATTTATTCTTTCGAGGCTCAACTATCATTTTTTCAACAAAATATCATAACTAAACTAACGCAGACCTATGTATAAAACAAAATACAGAATTGGAATAACATAATGCAATAAATTACATGGGAAGAAGAGCAGGATTTTTAAAGACAAACGAATCACCAATATGAAGAGCGCAGTATCAGTACTAACACCATTATTAATTTACTCAAATCTTCCATTCTTCCTTCAGGGAACCAAAAGTGTACTAGGATTAATATCAAAATTTATGAAGATAAAATTAAAAGGAAGAAAACCAGTATACCACCTAGAGAAGTAAGCATCATAATTTTGAAGATAAGCAAATAAATATGCATATAAAATCTTGATAACTATCTCTTCTGCTCAGCCCAGTACATAGATTTCATAGAATCGCATTGAAAGGGATACCAAAGAAGTAAATGAAGAGGGAAAACCACTGAAGTGCTTCTTCAGTTTACGCTTAGTAACTATGGAATCTCATAACATTCAAAATGTTCCAACTCAAAACGTTTTCTGCAAAACTTGTTAAGGTCATGCACCACAAGCAGCGCCACATTCAGCACCACATGGTGCTCCATAAGGTTCTGAATCTGCAGCACCAGAGGTTTTCTCTTTGGACACTCCTTCTGCACAAGAAAATATTATAGCAGACATCACGCAGAACATAACCAAAGCTATCCACAAGATCCCACAAACATTCCCAAACAATCCAAGCCTTGCTTCCAAATTGGTCAACTCCCTCCATTCTCTTGCCATCTCTTCCTTCCTCTTCGTTTTGCTTCTTAGAGCAGCTGGTTTGCTTTTGCTCTCTCAGGAGTGAGCTGGTGAGCAAACCACTTGTGCATAGGCTTTTTATGAGTTTTAAGGCCAATGTGGTGGAATAAAATTATTCGTCTTCTGGATTGATAGTAGATTGACTTTTTATTTTGTCCTACACTACCCTAATCACTTATTTTAATTTTGGTCTCTCCATTATGAAAAGTTTTGCAATATTTCCCTGTGCAAAAGAAGTCTGTGAACCTCTGTTGTTAAATCTATATATCCTATATATTAAAGAAATCTGTAGCGGTATACATTATTTCCCAGACAAAGCCCTCACGCCTTCAATTTACTTGTGAATTTTAGTGGTAGATGAAATTTCCCGTGCATCACATGGGTGGGCAAGTATTTTAAATTTAGAAGAAGAATATGGGATGAAAAAGGTAAGTCTAGAAGCCAAGATGAGATTTTTTCTGTAGGGAATATTTCTGTGTGCTGTGAGAATGATGGTGAAAAAGTTGTGGAAAATAATTGGATGTGCAATAATTGAGGTACTGTGGTTATAATGAATTCAATTGTGGAGGCTAACGTGACATGAAATTTGTCGATTTTTGGAGACAGAAGGGATTGCGATGGACAAAGTTTGATGAGTTTTCAGAGGCCACTTTCAACGAAGGAATTGGCCTTCATATTCCAAATTGCACGAGAAAATACAGCTCCAACTTTTTTTCCAGTGGTGAACTTGGGGAGGCTTCAACTAAGTCAGTATCAACTACTTATATAAAACAATGCAATTATTTCACTTAGTGGTTGATTCTTTTTTGAGTTTTTTACTCAGCAAAAGAGAGTTGAAACAGTATTAAACAAGGGTATCAGGATCTCCACTTATGTAGAAGTGGAATTTCATGCGAATGAGAACAGAGTGTTGGCTCTGAAGAGACTTGCTGGCATACGTAGAATATCCTCACAAATCTGTTCGGCTGCCCCATTTACGTTTGTTGTCAATGACTTTCTTCTGTTTCGAATTCAGCGTCACAAAGCACCATTATTGGCTCTAATTCAAATCGAATTTTGCGTCTGATATGATGTCCTTGATTTCAGCCCTTTTCTGATCCAAAAGTTAGAAGGAGTATTTATTTTAATCTTATTTGCTGGGCACTTTAATTATTGTTTTATTTTTTTTTTATCTCTATTAAATAATAAAAAAATTATTAAATGTAAGAGTATTTTATTTTTTAAAGTGTGTATATTAATAGAGATCAAGTTAAAAATTTGTTAAATTTTAGTTATAATTAATGAGGTTTAAGTTTTTTTTTTAATTTTGATGAAAGATGTTAAAAGTAAATCATAAATAAAACCGGAAGAAATATACAACTTTGGCACTGTCATGTATTTTTTATAAGAGAGACTGCAAAATTCAAGAAACATTTATTATATTTTTATCAAATCGTGCATCATAAAATTAAAATTTATTTTCATGGGACGAATTTTTTTATTAATTTCACACATACTCCCTCTAATTCCTATAATAAGGTACCTTTTAAAAAAGGTTAATTCTTAATAAAAGATATATGAAGGGTTATTTATTGTTATTTTCTAATTTTACCCATATCATATTGCTTATCTCTCTTTTTTTATTTTTAATAGAGGTGAAGTTGAACAATTTTTTATTTTGAAACATATTTAATAAGTTAACTGTCGTTCATTAGTTCTAGTAAAGTAGTTAAAAATATCTTATAATAAATTAGGAGGGACTAATTATTAGGATTAACAAATTTTTTTAGACTACGTAAATTGAGTAAACTTTACTTATATTTAGAAATGGAGGTAGTGTATGCATGCGATTCAAGTAGAGTAGTTTTTTAAAGGAGGGATAAAATTAGGAGTATAAAAAGTGAAATATGTTAAGCCATCAATGTAATCAAGCTCACTTTTAAGCAATGAACAGTTCCTAACAAAAAATTCTACACAAACCTTATAACAATAAAGCTACAATGACTGCCGTATGAAAAAAAATAGTTTTTTATTTTCTAAGAAAATAGATCTGCAAGAGTGATACATGGAAGAAATATTTAGGAGCATTCAAATGATATTAAAAGGTAATACTCACTCTGTTAAAAAATATAAGGTATTTTTAACTTAATTTTACCCTTCAATAAAGTAGTTGTCTATTTTTTTACTAACCTTACCCTTTCATATTTATTTCTATTAAACACTCTATAATAAATATAAACTCATTATCAATAGGAATACTTTTGAAAAAAAATAATAATTACACTTCAAAAGACTAAAAATGTCATACATTTTTTAACATTCAACTCCTCAAAAAATACTTTATATTTTTAAACATAGAGAATATACTTTAGTTTTCCTTTGGCTGCTAGAATGAATAATAATAAAATAGATTGAAAAAATTAAAATAAAATTAAACTAAATTATTTTTTATTTATGATAAGTATAATAAAACTTAATATTATATATTATATATGTGAAAATCACTATACTTTTCAAAAACTTCATAAATCATAATTTTTAATTTTATAAACTAAATTATTGTCCTCCTTTATGAATATAATTTATTTATCTCTCTCCAAATTTTAATTATTTTATTTTATTTTATTTTTTTTTTAACAATCAAAAGGGTAAGTTCCTTGGTATTCTCTTTGTGGTCTTCTCCCTTTTTTTTTTTTGGGCCTGAATTCTCTTTGTGGTCTTCGCAGTCGAGGAAATAGAAAATTTTAATTAATCACGCTAAACCAAAATAAAAAATAAAAATACCTTTAATAATAATAATGATAATAATAATACAAACCAATCACATCAACTTTTTATATCCTAACTTAATTAACCGTACCTCTAAGGAGTGAGGACGCTGTCCTTTCAGCATTCTGGACGGACAGATTGAAGATATCCCATCCATTTTGACTTTTGAGTTTCACCCTCTTGCTCTAAGTGTTAACATTAAGATCTTTTAAAATTTAATAAACAATTTTAACACATTTTCTACCTTAAATTATTTCACGAGAGAAACTAGCTATTGTAAACAATATCGTTCTTCAAATATCAAAATTGTTACAATAATGCTTTTCAAACTAATAGACAATAACGTTGATTGTTAATTATAGAGATTGAAACAAGTTTAAATGACATGCAAAAAAAAAAAAAATCTGAGTTGAATGCTATTTTTGCTTCTAAAAATATCTATAAAGGAGTATCGAGTACCTAAAAGTTTGATAACGTTAAACAATTGGCATCTCTATTTTTAATTTAAGGGTTTAGATATTTGTCAGTTTTTTTTTTTTTTAAGTATCAGTCTTATAATTAACTGGGATATAAATATATAACATGTGAGCACATCATTCAATGACAATTAGTGTGGGCTGACAGAAACATGTGCCGTCATGTTTTAACATTAATCATTAGTACAGTTTGAAAGTATGTTTTTTGGACAGATAAATGTCTAGTTAGCAAATTTGGATATATATATATATATATATATAACCTGTGACAATACTATTAATTGATCATTACAAACAAAAATACTGTTTAGTCCAATTTGACCTAAACATGTCACATGTTGGTTAAACCTATTTCTCTATCTAGAGTCAACCATCAGCATTATTGTTTGTTAATTCAGGATGAGATTGCAACTATTTTAATGCTTTGTGGATGATATTGTTCAAACAATAATTTTAAATGGTCAGTACTCTTTACGAAATGGTTCAAAGAAAAAAAAATGACTTCCTCCTCTAACACTCAACAAATAAATAATAATTTAAAGCTTTTATTTAAAATCACCCACTTGAGCAATTGCAGCTTTAAAGGTGACGAAAAATAGAGTACACCTAAATTTAAATGGGTAAGACTTGACATCAACAGTTTTGTTAACACTAATGACACCGCAGTATGTGGAGGCATCATCAAAGACGATAAGGAAAATTGGATTAAAAAATTTTTCAAATACCTTGAATATCAACCTAATAAAGCAACAGAACTTATGGGAATACTCAAGAGATTAAATTTTTGCTGGAATGTGAAATTATCAAGAGTCAATATACACTCTGATTCAATGGAGACATTGTCACTCATTAATCGCACATACTCTAAGAGTCATCCTTATTCTGACACTATTAGGAAGATCAAAGATCTTGTTATGAGATATTGGATGGTCACTTTTAACCATATTTATAGAGAAGCAAACAGATGTGCTGATCTTTCAGCTCATCGGCCTTCGCATGATACCTTTAATGTTATGATTTTTGGTGTACTACCGCACAAATGTAAAAATCTCATGATTTTATATATGACTAGATTTTAGTCTTTTTGCATGATTTTACCATGGCCTTGTAATTAAAAAAATGACTTCTAAGTTAAAAGAAAATTCAAATAAATATTGTAATAAAAAAAAAAGAAAGCAATTTAAAAGAGATGTCCACATTTAATATCAATTTTTGGAATAAAATTATTCACGTGCTCAGTAAAAAAGAATAGAATTAGAATTTCGTATATTCCTAAAAAAAACAGAGAACAAATGAATTTGCTAGATTGTTTATATAGTACAAAAAAATTAGACAAAGGATAAACAATTATCCAATGTTTAATACACTACTTCAAATAAACCTTTTTTAGCTTGGAAGTTGGAAGGAAAAGAAAAATGCACGTGCTCTTTTTGGGCTAGGAGGAATATATATATGTGTGTGTCGTTTTAATTTCTCTTGAAATATGTATATATAATCAATAATTAATAATTTCAAAAGAAATTAAAATGACACGCACACATATATAATCAATAATTAGTAATTTCAAAAGAAATTAAAATGACTTCTAATACATGTAATGAATTGGCACTGTACAATTTCTAGTGTTGTCTGTAAAAGACGAAAAAGATAATTAATTCAACTGATACAAATTTATTGATTGGATTATCATTATTGGGTTTGGCATTAGTATTAGTGTTATTTTTTGTTCTCATTTGGCGCTCATCACTCCAAGTGCTCATCATTACTTCTTAAATATTTTTAATATTACATTTATTAACATAAAAAATATAAAAAAATTTAATATTAAATTTGAACTATTTAAAATGCATTTAAATAGTTAATTTATGAAATTTATAATTTTTTTAATATTAAATTGGACTATCTAGATAAATCTATAATGACCAAATTAGTAATGAATAGATTTATTAAAATTTTTTTATAAATTTTATTTTAATAAATATAAAATAGAAATAAAAATTTTAAATTTAAGTGGTTCAAATCTCATCAAAAGTGATAAATATTATTGTGCTTATTTCTTAATGAACACTAAAGACAGCCTAAATTTAATATTGACAAATTATAAGTGAAGTAAGAAAATTTACAAATAAAATAAAAAAATTAATAATTATTGATTCTGTATAACAAGAGAAGGATATTTTAATATTTTTATCATTGAAATCACCTTAACTTTTTTTTCTTAAACAGAACTGAAATTTAAAATTTTTTTTAAGATCCATAAATTATTAAGTTTTTTTTGTCATCCTTAATTAAAATTCTTCCGATTTTATAATGTCTTGTGACAAGGTCCGTGATCATAGTGCGGGGCTTCTCGAAAAAGAATCATCGTACAATAATTCACCCCAGAAAACATTATTATATTATGCGACATGTCAAGTTTAGTGTTGAAATGGGTCCCATATAATACATACCGAGTTTAAAATAAAGTATATTATTTATAATTCATAGGCCATAATAAATTTATAAATTTATGTTGACTAAAATATTTAACTTATTATATCAGGTTAACATGTAATTTAAATATTAAATTATAAATTTGAGAATGATTTAAATCATATATTTTTAATTAATATATTTTAAATTTTAAATAATTAAAGTCAATGCATCTTTATCCCACCATTAATTTTAAGTCTAAATGTCGCTACTTTTTAAATATAGCGGGACTCACTCTCAAAGATCAGATTGAAGTAGAGGAAGATGTTGAAGCAATGATCTAATTGACTAGGCATGCTGTTAAGGTGGGAGGGATTGAGAGATTGGCACCGAAGAGGAAGATTTCGATGATTTTGAGTGCGAAGGAGAAGGAGCTCTACGAGATGGAAAAGAATTGAGCATAGTTAATATTGTTGGAGGCGAGTATGTTGTTGAAGGAGACGTTCTTCCCTTAATAGGGATTGGATTGCACTCCACATATTTCTCACACTTGTGGCAGTAAGCCTAGTCAGGCTATTTCTCATACCTACAGCAAAACTCAGTTTCCTTACCCTCTGCATTAAGTCCCTTCTTGACTTCCTAGATTCTGCGACCATATTCGAGCAAGACCTCGTCCACATTTCCTTCAACATGACAATGCAGCACCTAAGCAGGGCCCTCCATTCCTCTGCTGTCATCTCCAAAAGTCCAAATGGATCAACACGTACATTTGGCATACAAGGACTGCCTGGAACTCCTTGAGGATTTCGTCGACATGCTCCTTCGCTCTCTCACTTCAGTCGTGCCCTCCCTACTCGAAGGCTGCGATGGGTCTACCGATGATGTGCTGACATGTCTCAGCATTGCCTTCTTGGATCAAGATAGATGTAGTGAAGGTTTTGCGAACATAAGCAGGATGGTGAAGGATTAGATGGCCTTGAAGGACTTGTTGGAGCTCATTAGCATTATAATTCGAGAGTGATGCCGACAACAATTTCTATTCTGATATAGAGCAGGGGAAGATTAATGAGAGACATCAATGATGGCGATATCTCAAGAGAATTCCCAACCTGGTTATGCAGAAGTGCTAGAAAGGAGAAAGGAGAGAGAGAGATAAGGAGACAGAAGGAGGAGAGAACAGATAGAGAGTGGGCCTCACTATATTTAAAAACTAATAGTCGTTAGTTTCAAATTGACTGTGAAGACAAGGATGTATCGATTTTACTTGTTTAAGGTTTAAAATATATCAATTATAAGTATAAAATTTAAATTGTTTTAGAATTTATAATTTAAAGTTTAAATTATATATTAATTTTTTTTATATTTTATGACTATTTAAACTAAAGATAATTTTTTATTATAAATTAAAAATTAGACAAAAAATCTTATCATAATATAGCATGTTATTTTAAGATATTTAAATCACATAATTTATACTTTTATTCCATTTACATTTTTAAATTTACATTCAAAAATTAGCTTCATTTTAATTTATTTTAAACATAAAATCTACAAGAAATACTAAATATATCAATCTTAGGATTAGAATGGGTCCCATAGTATATACCAAGTTTGAAATAAATTATATTATTCATAATTCATAATAAGTTTATAAATTTATGATGACGAAATGTTCTAACTTTCTATATTTCATGTCTATTTAAAATAATTTTAATTATAATTTAAAAATAAAAAATTAGACTAAAAATATGACAATAAAAGATATTATTTAAGACATTTAAATTACATAACTTAGATTTTTATTTCATATAAATTTTTTAGTTTTTAAATTTAATATGAAAATAGTTCATTTTTTATTTTATTTTAAATACTGTAAATAATAATAAATAAATTTAAATAAACTAAAAATGGATAAACAATAAAGTAATATTCTTTTCTAACAAAAAAATAATTTAAATCACTTGGAATTAACTCTATTTCTAGAGTCAATATGTAACATGTGCGATGTTTAAAATTCACAACTTCTGAATGTTAAAAAAAAAAAAAATCCTGTATCATAGATTTCATTCATTATTGTGCGATTCACATCATTTAAAAAAATTAGTATAATTATAATTCAGATAGATTTTAGCGTGACTTTTCGATGTTATGTTTTATAAACTTGTAACCATAATATTGTGGCCAAATTTTATAAAATAAAGTTGAATGAATCAACCATAATATTCCTGAAGAATAATTACATAACGATATTCTTGTTATTTGCAAGCAACAGAGTCTCTGGCCCTTGCGTCGCAGAGCGGAGGAGATCAAGCTGGAAACTTGAAACGACGCATTTCGCCGGAAAGAGATAAATTATGATGCTCCGAGGGAGTCTTTCATCTTGCGAATTAAAAATTTCCCAACCAGCTCTTTATTGGATGGAGGCTTCGTCACAAGCCGAAAGAATTAACAATGTCGCGTTGACACAAAATTTCTCATAATCAAATCATCTCCTCTTGTTTTCGCTTCCAGTTCTATTTCTCGGAGTCTAAAATGCAGGGCACCATCACTCTGAATTCACTATCCCACAGTCTCTGTTTCCCTCCTTTGTTCACGAACGGATCCCAGAAATCCCAATCCATCTCCACCAGCTCTGCCAAAAAGTTCAGTGCTTTTCGGGCAAACGTGTCAGCTTTGACACCTGCGGCAACACCCACAAGCTTTGGGTTCATGAATTTGATGGAGACATTCACTGTGGACGTGCAAAGAGCAGAGAACAGGCCATTGAACGTGCCCTTGATTGCTCCTTTTACGATCGCTTCTTCGAGATTAGACAAGGTGGAGAACGTGGCGATTAGAGTTGAATTGAGGAATGGTTCGGTCGGGTGGGGAGAGGCGCCAATCTTGCCCTTTGTTACTGCGGAGGATCAGCCTACTGCCATGGCCAAGGCTGCTGAGGCGTGTGACTTCTTGCGGCAAACTCCTGCGCTGACATTGGGCTCCTTGTTGAAGGAGATTGAGGGTATTCTTCCAGGCCATGAGTTCGCTTCGGTGGGTGACATTGGGCTTTGTTTTCTTTCCATTTATTGCTTGCTCTTTTAATAATTTAACTTTTGATAGTCCTGGTCTGATGCTATATTGATTTACTTTGGAAACTGACGTGGCTCCGTGCGATTGCCTTGAATTTGAATGCTGTCTAATATCTACAGTCTTTTACTTGGTGCCAGGTTGGGATAGTGTGCTAGTTTGAGAAAACATGAATCAATCTTCAAGCCAGAATCACATTCGCTAATCTCTATCAACTTTTACTTGTGTCATTCTGGAGCATTTTACTTGCTTGAGTTTGCCCCCCCTCCTGCCCAAATACCACCCCCCACCCCCAAAACACCCCCAAGGCCCAATTTCAATGTATGACCTGTTGTTCAGAAGATTTCAAGTAAGAAACCATATAACTTAAATGAAATCAATGACCAAAGGACAGGGTAAATTCTGCTTTAAAAAGTGTCCTCTTACATTCCCATGTTCTTGAAGCTTACTGGCCTGATTTCGCACTGGAATCAATATAAGAGTGTTCCTTCCAAACTCTTAAAGCCTGCCATTTTTATAGAAATTCAATTTCTGAGACGAAATTAGTTTAATTGCTTACATTTAATTTTGGTTTGATGTTCTTGTACTACTCCCTAACTAGTGGGCAACTTTGTAAAGTTTTGTCTATATCATGTCAATGGTTTGAAGCTATGAAACTGTTTGTTGAATTCGAGTAGTGGGGATATTGTTAACTTCTAAATTTGCAGTGAAAAGTTTTGCCCCTTATAATTAGCATTAATTGCTTGGTTTATCTTGAACTGATTTTTATTAGCTTTTAAGCCTTTAATGCCTTGCTATGGCCTGGCTGGTATGGATATACTGATCCGTTACCATCACTGTCACTGTAATGGGTTGGTGGTGATTGAGGGCTTATGGCATTACATACATGTATCGCGGGTCATCAAATCTTCCCAGTACAACTCTTTCGATGCTTAGAAGGTTTTCATTGTAAGAGGAGGAGAAATATATATATATATATATTATATGGAACACATGCAAGGGGAGAAATGATGAAATATCTAAAGCAAATTGAGACCAATGCATAAGCAGAACTGAGATAATCTATTAATACTCCTGACTTTGGGCATTTTGCACTCTCCTGTAAGAGCAATTGTGCAACTGAATGCCAATTTCAAGAATTGGAATGGAAAACTGCTACAGATCTGTTACCTTTTAGAATGCCCTCCTATTATTTCTGGCCAACAAAAATAAAAGACCTATATATCTTTTTGGAAATGTCTCTTTTACTGTAATTTCAAACATTTTTTATTCTCATGAAGTCTGTGATATTTTAGGTCCGGGCAGGGGTGGAGATGGCATTAATTGATGCTGTTGCTAATAATATTCGCGTGCCACTTTGGAGGCTTTTTGGTGGAGCTTCAAATACCATAACCACTGATATAACAGTAATGTTCTTATTTACTCCCAAACTGAAATGCTTGCCATTAATTTGCAGCAGGCTCTATCTTTCAGAAAAACTGTAACATTTGCGATTGTAACATTTGAACTCATCTATAAATACTAAAATGAAACAGTTGAAAGTTTTTTTGCTAACTGGAAGTAAATATAAAACCGTTTATGTATGTAGATCCCAATTGTTGGCCCAACTGAAGCAGCTAAATTGGCTTCAAAGTATCGGAAAGAAGGATTTAAGACTTTGAAGCTCAAAGTAGGCAAAAGCTTGAATTCAGACATAGAAGTTCTTCAAGCTATACGTGTTGCACACCCTGAGTGTCAATTTATTCTGGATGCTAATGAGGGATACAACCCCAATGAAGCTGTGGAGGTTCTTGAAAAACTACATGGTAAAAAGCTGTATATTCATATATAGAGCTGTCTCATCACTCAGAATATATGCTCCAAATAATTGCCAACATTGTGCACTACAAATGCACATATATTATTGAACTGCTGTAACTTCATTGCAAAATTTAGGCAATGGAGCTTATGAACTTAAAATTATTTTTCTATTGCAGAAATGGGCGTAACTCCAGTTCTATTTGAACAACCAGTTCATAGAGATGATTGGGAAGGTCTTGGATATGTAAGCTTTGTAGCAAGAGATAAATATGGTGTATCTGTGGCTGCTGATGAGAGCTGTCGCAGTCTAAATGATGTTTCCAGAATTGCAGAGGGAAACCTAGCAGATGTGATTAATATCAAACTCGCCAAAGTTGGAGTTGTGGGAGCCCTTAACATTATTAAAGTGGCAAAAGCTGCAGGATTAAATTTGATGATAGGTGGTATGGTTGAGACAAGACTAGCTATGGGTTTTGCTGGCCACCTTGCCGCTGGCCTTGGATGTTTCAAGTAAGTATCAATATTGACGAGAAATATGTCTTTAACTCTTTCTATCTTTCTATTTCATAGAATATTGCGTAAATTTTGTAGGTTCATTGACCTGGATACACCACTTCTTCTTTCCGAAGATCCAGTCCTTGAGGGCTATGAAGGTATACTCCATCAAATTTTAAGTGCCCTTCAGTTTTAGGTTCTTACAGTTTCATGTGGTATTTTTGTCAAGTCATTAACGTTTGAGTTGATTTTACCTTTGAAACAGTTTCAGGTGCCACTTCTAAGTTCACAAATTGTAGAGGCCACGGTGGATTCCTTCATTGGGATAACATTGCTTGGTAAGTTTTTACTTTCCTTCTGCAATTAGATTGATGCTGTAATTCCCCTCTAAAGAAGCGTAGCTGCAAAATTATCACAGAAGGTAAAATCTCTGATCTTGAAAGATACAGCAAAATCTGGATGAAAGGTCAATTAACACCTCTAAATGCATCATTTAAGCTGTTCATTAAAAATTAGAATAATGTTCCCTGGGTACGTTATTGTAAATCCAAACTTTCCTACTTTCTGCCTTCATGGCCTCTAATGATAGGGTTTATTTTGGCGCCATTAAGCCTTTATTTTTAATTATTTTTAATTCCATATAGAAAAGTGGATCAGAGGTTGAATTATTAAAATGATCCTTTTTTAAATTTGGATAATGACGCTTACTTGGAATGATGTTAGGTGTTAAAAGTGACCTCATTCCAAGGGAATCAAGGTTAAGTTCTCATTGTGCTGTATACCACTCTATCTGCATGATTTAAGCTGCTCATTGAAAATGACAATAATGCACCCTGCGCACTCCTACTTTCTTCCTTTATGATTATAAGCCTTTAGGGTAAAGAGTTAAATTTGGCGCCACCGATCTCTTTCTTAGCTCAATGGTCACAAAGTGATTTCATTGTTTGAATTGTTAAAAACATCATTTTTAAACTTTGGACATTGTCACCGGTTTTAATTATTAAAAGTGACCCTCACTCCAGTGGAGTCAAAATGAAGTGTTTATTTTTGCTGTCTGTAACCCATGAATTTATTTCAACTTTTACGGGGTGAAATCATTCCTTTGATATATAATCTGGTTGACTTTTTAAATGACTACTTGATCAATTTATGTGCAGAAACGAGAGCTCTGAATGTTCTCAAAAACTCTTAAATTCCAAAAAGCATTATTGGACTAGTTGCATCAGCCCTCTGCAAAAGGCTTTCACGTAGATAGAATAACAATTGCAAGAGGATAAGCGCTTGGATAATAAAGTGGTGTTGTCATGACATTGGTTGATGGTAATTACAATAACAAGCATGAGTGAAGATTTATTTTGCCTTGGAACTGGCTATCATTAGGAATTTGCCATGCATTGTACTTATCTGTGGAAAATAAATGCTCTTGAGGCTTTGAGCCAAATAACAAATAGTTGCAAGAAGATAGTTTTTGATTATGTTGTATTTCCAAACTCAAGTTTGGAACCACAATTTATCTTGTTGCGATTATGCATTGAATAGTACTAATAAGAAACTATTTCCTGTGCATCTTCCTCACGCTTCCTTAATATCAGTAAAAACAATCATCATCTGTATTATTATGCATAACTTAAGGTAAATGTGGCAGTGAAAATTTTCCTTGAGATCAATTTTTCTTCCTGTCTAAAATTATACGTCTTCTTTCTTAGTTGTTCCAACTTGACTTCCCGCCAATCTTCTCACAGATTGTCAAATCTGAATAAGATTCGAATCTCTTCAAATAATCAGAGAGACGGAGACCAAATTGTAGAGAAATAAAATAAAGATGTGAACCATCTTTTAGTGTTGCCCCTGTTTCTATAGTTCTTCACGTTTTTCTTTGGTCAACAGAAAGAATACATAGTCACTGAGTTACAAAATGTACAACGCTGCTCGAAGTACATTCTAAATTCACTGATTCAAGTAGAAACATGTTAGCATCGTGAATGGATCTTCTGTGAGTTTTTGAACCAGTAAATTTAAGGAATTCGATTTAATCAAAAGCCATTTTACCTCTGGTTTGTGGAACAGTCCTCTTTATAAGGCATTTTGTAAAGGATAAAGGTGCATCTTTATCCCTGATATTTTCTCCGAAAAGCACTCAGCACCCTAAGGTATTTCACATAACATTTTTGACTTTGACGTAATTAATTCAGAGCACTTGTTACCTTGATGTTAAATACACACTAACTCCGTTAAAAATTTCTTGTGGGTCCTATTTTATGTGATAGGTTATCATCTCCCTTTGATGATGATTCTTCCATTGCTACCTGAGTCTTCAGCGTTATCACCTTCCTCCGACACTAGAAGCATTGAGATGACACCCTCGTCACCTACTCTCCTCTTCTCCTCATTATCGCTCTCCCACTTCCACCAAAGCTCAAATCTTAGTAGCCTCTGCCATCACTGTCTACCTCAAAGCTCACGTCTCTGTTGCGTCTGCCATTGCCATCCTTGAAGCTCAACGTCTTCATCTCCTTCTCTCTTCATAGCTGTCAACCTTGAAGCTCATCCTCTCCATCGTCGATGATGATCTACCTCTTTCTTGGCCTCCTATAGTGATTTTGCTAACCAAAACATCCATAGTGATTTTTCAAATTGTCAAGACTACCCGTTCAAGCTTCTTTGACTTTCTTCCCTAACCATGGAGTGACTATGACAACTTGGGCAAGTTGTGTTGCAGAAGTTCAGAGTGAAGATGGTAACAATCACAAATGTTCGAAGATCATAGCAACCTACTATTCTCTCCATTGGCAACAAAAGAAACTCCCCACCGTTCATGTCGATGCGTTTCCAGTTTCGATCATGATCCCATTAGTTATCTTGTGGATGACGCCTTTCAAAGTGAACAATATGACCCTTAACTCGTTTCTATGTCTAAGAACAAAAATAGGGGAGAATAGAGACGTCGGCGCTGTTGATCCTTAACCAGGCTCCTTCTTGGCATCATCACCTTCACATAGCAGCTCCTCTTCTTTCAACCTTCACTCAACTCACTACATGGGACTGAAAACCATCTTCTGTTACAACATGCATAAGCAATGCATGCATGCATGAAGGTTGAGAAAGTAAGGAGGAGAGAGAGAGAGAGAGAGAGGAGAGAAGGTTAGGAAGACAGGAGACGAGTCCTTGAATCCACTTGGCCCTTAGGTCTAGCTCCTTCTTGTCATAACCGATGACAATGAAGATGAAGATTATAGCATAGAGAGAGGGAGAGTTTAGTCCAACTTAGCATTTTTCGATCAAAATGTAATCCAATTTAGCAATTATAATGGTCAACGTGTGTGGATTTAACATCAGGGTAATAGGTGTACTGAATTAATTACATCAGGTGCGAAAATATTATGTGAAATACCTTAGGGTGTTAGGTGCTTCTCGGAGAAAACATCTTACTCTTTCGTAAACACAAAAAGCAGTCCTTATTAAGGTGTTGAACAAAAAATAAGAATAATCTTCTCATTTTAGCCTTCCTTGAGAAAGCATTATGCAGATTACTAGGTAACCTACCGTTTTTCTCTCCATTTTTAACAAGAGTGTAATTAGAAAGTTAAAAGAACAATATGATAATTTTTCTTAAAACACGTGAAAGATGTCTCAAACATTAACAAACAGAATGAAAGGACAATGAAGCAGATTGATCTTTACTCTCAAGATTCCACTTTTTAGAAAAAAAGAGAGAATTATGTTGAAGTTCCAAAAAAAAAAAAAGTTGTTGCATGAACATACCTAATTAATCCCACATTGCATATATAATAATTCATCATTACATGCCTGTATTCCTATCATATTGCATGTTCCTGGTTCTGACCCGCAAAATCACCTCATTCTGGTTATTTATATTTAAGAACAAAGAAGAGAACACCGGTAAACCCTATGAAACCTGTTCTGCTAACATTGGAGTGAATCTGCAAGATTACTTTTATGTTTTAGCTATCCGTTAATTGCGGTTTTTGAGCATACTTTGTAAAGTAATTAACTCATATTTTCCAGCAAAAGGGGGATGTATAGATAGATGACTAATAAAATAAAGAGAAGAAAAGGAAGATGAATCTCGATAAAAAAAAAAAAAAAAAGTAAGGTTGGATGCTTGATACGGTGAACAAAGAGCTCATTGGTTTGTGAGATTATCATTGTGCAGCACTCTCTAGACACAGAAATTGGCCAATGTAACGATGATGAATCATCAATGATCAAGTAAGCATGAAGATTAAAAAGATAAAGATGCATAATACGAAGGTCCCATCCAATGATGATAGCTAGAACTTTTTTTTTCCCCTGAAAGAATAGACCAAATTAATCTGCCAGAAACTAATCATAATGCGTGAATTCATGCTTTATCAATCTCTCTTTTACTTTTAGCAAGTGAATTATTGTAGAAGTAAGCCATAATGATTGTATATGGCGTGCTTAAAACTATTGCACACCCAAGTTAAATGTTGACTAAGATCCTTTCCCCATTAATATTAATTGCCAGAGCATAACCTAGTAAAATTTATTAAACTTCATTTTCTTTTATTTACCAGTGCTCAGAATGATAATGTGATTTTCTCCATAGAAATTAAAAAATCCCTTGTATTAATGCCAAAGCGGTCGCCAATTTGATCTTCTATTTCCTTCATCATGTGTATTCTTCCATTGATGAAAAGATAAAAAAGGAACGTAAATATAAAAAAAACAAAAGAACGGAAAAGAAAAGAAAACTCTCTTTGGAAATCGGAGTGGGATTTGCCTTGCCTTGATGTCTTCCACTCACACAAGAGATCAATGATTGTTGCTGCAAACCCCGGAAGGTTTCAAAGATGATGCCGCCTACAAATGCAAAACTGCGCTTTCTTTGTGAACAGCCCCCCTCCTTAATGCAATGCTACAAAAAAAAAAAAAAATCATGCAGCAGAATAACCAACCATGTCATGTCAAAGTACAAAAGATTTCTACCTCCAGTAGTGAAACATAAAAAATTTTACCATTCAAATTATCATTCAAAGCTTGATGAGCAAATCAGTGCAATTATTTTGTTCATACACATGTAATGTAATCATCTAATTTCTTATAGTGAGCTCCCTGATCTTCTTGATAGTTTTAGTTTTAGAGAGTGGGTGGTTATGACTCATGATGAACATTTCACATTTAAAAATTCCCCACTTTATAGTCTTTTTATAGATAAAGATTTCACATTTAAAATATGAAATCTAGCCTTCACTTTTTCTCCCCTCATTTCTAAAGAAAATCTTGCAGCGATATGTCTCAGATGCTAGACCACAGCTGATGATCATTATTGGCTAGCAATAAATAATCTCATATCAGGAGATCACTGCATTTGAATACACTCATGTATTGTCACGCTGTTAATTAATAAGCTATTGTGTTTACAGATAACGTTGCACAGTGATAATCATGTAATCGCTAACCTTGAGCATATGTGTATTATTTGAGCGTGAACATGACAGAGGTCAGTGATTATTACAGGGTCGATGTCACCAATTCCCAAGTGTGCGGTCTGTTAATGATAAGAACATGTGTGGCTTCATAATAATATGAAGCCTTGCTCTCTGTAAACAAATACTCACTTCACCATCACCGAAAGATACCAACCCTATTAGGCTGAAAAGTGGCTTCCCAATCACCAACTTTCTGCAATCTGAAGGAAAAAGCAATATAATTTCTTAGTAATATTCTACCTCATATCGGTATATGGGTGCATACCTGTGGCCATATTGTGTCAGTGTATTAATGCAACATTTTGTGTAAATAATTTTCAAATTAAAAGCTATATGATTCCTTTTGATTTAATTTTATGTGTAGATAACTCTCTAACATGCCACACTCTCTGTTGAAAAAATAATAGATTAATTAACAGTAGAAGTTGTCTACATTAATTTGGGAGTTCAAGAGATTCATTGACCCTGTCAAAATTTGATGGTTAAAGAGTTATGTTTAACCTACCTTGTGAAATAAAGATTTGGTGCCAAGCTTTGGAAAGTTGTGTCTGTATCTACTTTTGGTAACGTGTGTATATCTCTTTATCATTAAGTTCTGAAATATTTTTTTAAATACTCATTCTATTTGTTGATGTCAACAATATGTAAGTGTCATTTTTATCAAGAAAATGTGACAGAAAATACTTAAAACTATAGCAGATTTTTATCTATTTATAACTTCCACTTGCTGCTGATTTGGTTCTGATATTAACAATTTCTTTGTCTAAACTTTTTTATCTGGGTGATTCTTCCATTTCAACCACGTTTTCTGAATTGTAGTATATTTTCATCATTTCCCCCTCTCTTCATAATTGATTAGAATTGTTGTACAAAAAAATGACATCAGAGAACGTTGGAGAAACTGAATCTTGCTAAGCTTCATCAGCTCTGACCTTATCTGTTACTATTGGTTTGATTATGAAGTTCCACCGAAAGATAAAATGTCATGATGCCTTCAAGTGATGACTTGGCATGAGCTGTTCCAAGACTCTTCAACCTCGAAAACAAAACCAAAAAAAGAAAAAAAAAAAGAACGAAACGAAACAAAAACTTTCTTTTACATTTATTCATACCCGTACATTGTTATGAGAATTCTACTTTGAATGTTTCTAAGCAATCATATTACTATTTGTAATCCTAATATATGCTCTTCAACACTCAATGTGCACATCGAGGCAGATCTAAAATTTCAAACTTGAGAGTGGACATCATAAAATACATTACAGTCTTGACTTAATCAGAACGCTTTGACACTTGAGTCCATTAATGAGATATAGTAGTGATTCACTAATCCTATAAACTAGTTAATGAGATATAATAATTCATATTAGATATCTATGAGAACATAATGGAGTGACGGCAAAAAAAAAAAAAAAGAGAAAAGAAACAGAGGAAGATATGAAGTAAAATATTTTCTTAGCAGAACAAGTCTAGAGTAGTTATGCTAAATAGAATCCAGAAGCAGTTGTTTTAGTGATATGTCTCTAGACCTAAGCAATTTACCTCCCTCAAAAGATGGACCAACCTCTTCCCACCTTTCATTTCATGGTTTCACATTATTTTTCAACACAAACTACCAACTCAAACCCTTGTGACATCACAATTCCTTAAACAATTCACTTATTCCTTCTTCATCTTTTTTTTTATTTTTTATTTTTGATGTTTTCTTTCCACTATGCTTACTCTATAAATAGAGGAATGGAAACACGACTCAAAATGCACCAGACCAATACATCAGCAGCAGCATCCCTCTTTGCTCATTCACACTCAATCTTGGGCATCATTGAGTGAAAAATGAAGCCATCACAAATTGCTTTGTGTGCACTGTTGGTTCTGCTTCTTGCAGAAGTACAAGTTTCAATGGCAGTAACATGCAGCCCAGTGCAACTGAGTTCATGTGTGAGTGCAATTACATCTTCATCTCCTCCTTCTAAGCTATGCTGCTCCAAGATCAAGGAACAAAAACCCTGTCTCTGTCAATACCTCCAGAATCCCAATCTCAAAAAGTTTGTGAACTCTCCAAATGCCAGGAAAGTTGCGAGCACTTGTGGAACTCCCTATCCAAGGTGCTGAGTGTTCTTGCTGGAAGGAGGAGACTTTCTCTGCCTACATACAGATGCAAAGCTTGATGCATAGTGTTCTCTGATATTAGAATAAAAATACTATCATGTTTGGTGTGATCTGTCAATGTCATCATTTTGCTTCCCAGTAGTAAGTGAACTAGTCTTGATGGATGTGAAGCTGTGATCATATTTATTTCCATTTATGTTCCTTGGTGTGAGCTCATCCTACTTATAATTCAAAGCAGTGTCAGATCATGTTTACTGATTAAAAGCCTCTCTCTCTCTCTCTCTCTCTCTCTCTCTAGAATTTCATTATTGCTCTGCAATAAAATCATTCCAGTAGTAAACATGTAATGAGAATTGCGTCTTAAAGAAATGTAGCTGCATCAAGAACAAACAGGGAAGTGTTCTGCTTGCAAGATGAAGCAACTATCAAACAACAGTTGCTGTGAAAGACTGAACTAGTAACAAGTTTAATAGCAACTACAAGAAAGAAAGATACTATCATCTATAGGGTATCCTAGAATGAAGCCTCAATTTCTCAAGAATGCGTACGAGATTATTTAGTGAAGATATAAAATATTAAGAAACAGCTACTTTGTAAAACTTATCTTGTTAGCTTGACCATCGATTTTAGGAAGAATTACATGAGAAAATTAATTACTATAAGACTTTATAGTAATTAATCTTATAGTAATTAATTTCCTTGTATGGGACCTAGATATAATTCTTCCTTGATTTTATGTGTTCATTAGAATTTTTGCAATGTAAATGAAAAGACTTGGGTTCACAAGTTGATTGTTTAAACAATTTGTCTTGTTCAAATGAAGTTGCTTGGCTAAAATTCATAATTCCTATTTGTAGGGATGCTCAACATGATAACTACTTATTTTGCTTCTCTGACAACTAAAACTGAAGTTTTCACCAATGAAGAGATTTCCTACCAAAATAAAAAAGGCATGATTGGAATAACTTCTTTTTCTTTTTGCATATAGCTGAAATTCAGAAAGTCCACGAAGCCTTCCAATGTGTGATTCAAGAAGAATCTTCTTGTACATTGGCCTTTTACTGGGTTTCTCTTAAGTAACCGCAATGCTTTGCGTAGTTAAAATGTTTTACAGTTTATAGTACTGTGAATCTCATTACTTCTGAGGTTAAAAAAACAAAATAGAATCTCATAACCAAATAAAGTTTAAACCACTTCAATTAGTTCGCTTAAGAATGTGTATAGACAAAAAGCATGACCTTCAAGCTGATAAATATAAATGTCAATATAAATGCGGATGTCATAAAATGAAAATGCATTCAACATCTATATGTATTTAAGAAAAAGGAGCTTATAAGATTGGAATCCAAATGAAAGGATTAATTTATTAAGGAATTAATTATGCAAAACAATTGAATTGAGCTGAAGAAATTATACATTCCAGGCAGAAATTCTTTTTCATGTACAAGCATTTGATGGAAGTTAAACAAACACAGTTCTTACAAGTTAAGAAGGTTTGTTATATTATTCCAGCCCATAAGCCATGGCCTCTTATCAGATGGCAGCACAAAATTCAGCTCAAACATCTCCTTTGACATGTTGCCTCCTTCACAGAAACCTACAAGCTTTGCAACTATTTGAGCACTCTCGTGTATATGCTTTGGATCATTGGGATTAGTCCAAAGCTTGTTCACAAATTGCATCTTCCTTTGCTTCCCATCAAGTGGGACATCCCATTTAATATACAATGCATCCCTCTCCTCTACAGTCAACCGTGAGGTCAATCTCTTGGCAAGAAATTCTCTTTCTCGTCTCAAGGCCCTGATACTGTAGATTACACAAACTTTCTGGTAAATAAAAATTCTCCTTCATAAAATTTGTTTTTCAACACGCGCACAAAGAGTACAAACCTTGATGACAGAGAGATGGTAGGCTCATCCCCAACATGAGCTGGGCTTGCATTGCCAAGTTCTGCAAGGTGCTGTTGCAACCACGTCAACCTCCTTAGTTCCACTTCCATGTATATTTGATCAGCTGGGTCTCCCTTGAATAACAAGTAAAACTGAGTCCTATGAATTATGGAGACATAACACAGATCCCATAAGTCAATGATCTGCTGCCGCTGCTCTTTAAATAGTACTTGCCATGAAACCTGCGGTTCTTCTGGTTCAGGAAAGTTCTCTTCATTTTCTATGCTGTGGCCATTTGCTTCATTTGCTTCAAGCTCAAGCACCTAGATATGCAAAGGAATGAGACGACATGAGTAAACCTCTACCGCTTAAATGAAGGGAAGGTTACAACATCAACATAGGAAGATTTCAAGGATATAAAAAGGCATAAAGAATTAGTATACCTGACAAACAAGTAATTGCTTTTGATATTGCAGTTTAGCCACACGTTCTTTCAATTCTGTGACATATGCTCTTATACTTCTTACATTCTCTTCTGCTGCATTCTGAAACATTTTCTGCATTTTTTTCATGTTAACTGAACTAGAGCGTCGATAACCTGAGTTATTTTCCTTTGATGAAACATCTCCACCTTCTTCACTCTTCGAAGGAGTCTCCTTTTCAGACTCTGGCAGAATCTCACTCGTAACATTATCATCATTCTCAGGAGCCTTGTTCTCAATATCACATTCCAAAACTTGCTGACTAGTTGATAATGGTGAGCAGGGAGATCGTAAGAAATTTTGTCGATTGGCAGCATTACTTGAAGCCAACGGAAGCAACTTCTTCCTTTTGTGTTCTTTTTTGTTCTTCAAGCTTGCTTCATCATTTAATTGTTGGTGATTGCTTGGGAGAGACATCACCAACTTGTCTATAGACCTCTGAACGTTCTCAAGCTGCTGCTCAAGATTCGCGATGGTGCTTCCCTGTGAATGAAGCCTAGTAATCTCTTCCTTGAGGTTTGCACTGACACTCTTATCAATAGCAACCATGCTTCCAACTTCAACGTCCTTAGACATTGGCTTGGCAGACTGCATTTCCCTTATTTCTGCTTGCAGCTTTGCAATAGTCTCAGCTGCATCTTGATTACCTAGTCTATGACATGCCACTTCCTTTTGTAATACTTCCAAAGCTCGATTAGCTTCTTCACCTAATTGCTCTTGGAGGTGCTCAAGTTTGCGGATTTCATGCATGAGGGCAAAAGGGGCAGTAGAAGATTGCCTCATGGACTGCCTTAATGTTGTGTTCCTTGCTCTATCACCACCCCCTGGCACTGATAATGCACCGGTGAATGAGAGACACTTTTTGACTGAAACATGGGGAGATTCAAGTGGGCCTGAGACCTGAAATGTAGAAGAGTATCAAATTAAAGGCAGTTGAGATGAATCAAGAGAGAATACTGTGAAAAAATAGAAAGAGACAGTGACCTGCTGATCATCTTGAATTTTTTTGCGTAACTCATCCACCTGTGATTGCGCATGGTCTCTTTGGCGTTTCAGCTCTTCAATTTCCTTCTCCATCTGGACATGATTAGTTAACATTCAGTACAGCGGTATAATATAGTTCTTTCCTAATTCGCACCGTTTTCCAATTTACCTGTTGAATTTTCCAATCCTTTTCCTTAGATGGATCAGGAGTGCGCAACTCAGCCTCTAGTCTAGCTACTTCCTTTTGCAAATGTTTAACAAGCTGCTTGTCCGAAACAACCTATGCAAATCGTTTGATAGAAAATGTCATTCAAAAGTTCTGGCATTTTGAATGTTAAATATAGATAAATAATAAAGCTAGCTATAAATTAGTAGTTACCATGTTCACTTTAGCATTATTTGTTACTTCCTTTGCACGGGTAGCAAAGAAGAGAGTGTTTCGTGATTGCTCTACATGACTTAGCGCTGGACTCAAAGTACATATGATGGCAGTGCGTGCGTTCCCACCAAGGGAGTGTTGCAATATACGCGTGAGCTTTGAATCTCTGTAAGGTATATGACCACTTCTTTTTCCAACACTGCATAGAATTTCAGGGCAGGCTGTCAGAAGAGTGTGCCTCATATAATCCCAACAGAATGTTAAACCTAAACTCAATAGACAATAAAATGGACCCCAAGAGGCCTTTGATCTGGTCTAAAGCTTAAACATTGTCATAAGCAGGTATTTCAATAAAACTTGCAGCAATAATCAGCAACCAAAACTATGTTTTAGACAGTTTTCAAGACCTTCCATGAATTAGTAGTACACCATGTGAAAAAATGGTAGAAAGATACCAGGAATGAGCAGACAATACTTAATTTTAAAGATGAATGCTTTGCAGTCAATTGACATGGTTGAAAGATGCATCTAAATTATAGATCTATGACTAGAAACTTTTATCAAGAAAAAGAGACTTCCTACACACTGCAAAACTATCATAGACCATTAAGAACATCGTAAACCATGTCATAAAAGTAATATTAGAGATTCAGACCTGAGCTTTCTGATGACAGTTGTAAGAGTCATCAAGCTAAGGTTAATATGGCAACCTTCTCTAAGCCTAGTGCCATCTGCATGTGTCTGGGCAGCCCTTTCACTTCCAGCCAGATCAACAAAGTTCTATAATCATTAACACAGGTAAGTAATTGTTAACAAGGAACTAATCTTAAAAATTGAAAAGTCGTTATGATTTATGAATTAAGCTTTGGATTACCAGGGTTGCAACAAAAGATTTCACACAATCTGAATTTTCACGCAGCGTACTCTGAATTGTCTGCAATAAACCAAAAGAAAAGATGTTCCAATAGCAAATTAAGTAAAGGGAGAATTGAAAGAAATGAGAAACCTCTCCAATGAGTAACAACACAAGTTTATTGTGCTAAAACTGACCAGCCTTATTATTTGGTGGGATCGTGAGCTAGTATCATTTAGAGCAGTTTCACCGACCTGCCTCTGGGCTGGATATAATCAAAACATTAAAACACTGTTATAAAGAGAATACCAGTCTAACCAACGTCCAGATGAAGAATTTCCTACCTTCACAGATTGAGATCAGGTGTCTCAAATGCTTGTCATCATTTGCCGTTTCTTCCACCAACTTTTCAACCACAGTACCTTTCTACATGAAAGTAATTAGAACACAATATTTCAAACTCCATTGGGGGCAAAAAAAAAAAAAAAAAAAGTCAACACCGAAAGCTCCTCAACTTTAACAAAAACTGAAAAAAAATCTTCAAAAAGATTACCTCAGGGTCATCTAGCAGCTTCAGGCTGCGACCAGATTCTGAATTTAACAAGTCCCTAACATTTTCATTGTAAATTTCTAGTCCTGATATTTTTATGGTGAAATCTCTCTCTGGGGTCTGCAATCATGCCATTGAAAAGATTAGACATCATTAGAAAGATTAGAAGAACATAACAAAGCATAGTTTTCCTTGTGGCAACGTAAACAAAACTTACATTCATTATATGATTATAAATATCATTGACAGCCTTCTCTGTTATTCCCCTCATTGTGTATGTCTTTCCACTGCTAGTTTGTCCATAAGCAAAAACGGTTGCTGCAATAAAATGACATTAAGTAGTTAAGTAATTATATAATGCAGAAACATAATAAATCAACAATATATGATTACAAATATAAATGGTACCGTTAATTCCCATCAAGGCAGACAATGCAACATTCTTTACTCCTTCCTCGTACACAATCTCAGTCAAACAAGCAGGACCAAAAACCTTGTCTACAGGAAGAAAATGCCACGTCAACAATAACAATTGAAATGTTAGATGAGGTTAGAAGAATCAAAGGAACAAAAAATTGGTAACAAGTAAGATCTGCGGTACCAAAAGTAAACGAGGCTGGTTGAGCTACACGTTCATGTGCTGCTGGTTTATGCACGATCGTATGATCATCAATGCAGTCCCATGCTACTTGATCTCTAGCCAATTGCTCCTTTTTGTTTAAAGGCCTCACCCTTACTGTCACCACAATCTTCTCCTCCTTAACTCTTGGCCCTCCAGGGGTCGATGCTGGTGTCCTATCTATTTTTGAAGCTGGTGTTCCAGGTGTCCGGACAGTCATTTTCTGCAGTAAAATGGCAACGCCAATACAACATATATCAGATCACACAGTTATGCAAAATAGAAATGAGAATTATAGGTTATTAATTATAGAACTGGGTTCTACTACATAAATGTTTCATGTCAGTCTCTTCGCTAAAGGCCTCCTCGGCAGATGCTCAACTAGAATTCTTAGTATTGTTCAGCACTCGGGTTCTTTCGGGGTCAACAAAGAAAATGACAGTTTCAAACGCATTAGATCCCCAACCCTTCACCTCATCCATGTCAAAATGACGTATAGATCGATAATAATCCTTTCCCATGTTTTTTTTCTTTTATTGGTTCTGACCTTCGCACCATCTAAAATTAAATCAGAGTATTCCTAAGGCATTGTCATTTATATTGATAATCAATAATCAACGATGAATAGGTCAAAAGATTGAGAGCGCGACGGATTACAGAATCTAAACTGGACTCCGGTAAATCTTGAACATATAATTAAAAGAAGAAAATTTCACCAGACATAAGACCCCAAAATGGAAAGATTTTTATGATAACGTTCCTTTCATTTTATCATCAAGCAAAACCCGAAAATTAAAGTGCACAAAAAGGAAAGTCAATAAAACTACATCAAGAGACGAAATTTTACCATACTCAGACCCAAATCACATTAAGAAAAGCAAAATGAAATCCAGAGAATTTAGGAAAGAGAAGCTGCTACTCACCTGTACTTAATGAGTCTACAATAAAACTGAGTAATACAGTCAAGCAGGCAGAAGAAATCAAGCGTAGCAAGATTTTACTTAATGAGTCTACTGGGCCTGGATCTTGGAGAGAAGACGGAAGCAGGAGGAGCGATAGCAAAATTTTCAGATCGATTCTGGTTCTCTTGAGGGTTTGAAGAGTAAATCGGTCTTTATGAGATAAGCAAAAAGGCCATTTGAGTCTGTCTGAGACCACACTCCATTTGAATTGGGGGACCCCTAACGGCTAGTTTCTCTCTCTCTCTCTCTCTCTCTCTCGCAATTTCTGTCTTATTTAGTTAATCCATAAATTTATTTATTATATTATTATTGCTATTACCATTGTTTATGAACGTTTCTGTGCGTTAATTGACAGCCGAGAAGAAAGAAGTGGGGCCCTTTTGAAAATCGAACGGCTTTTGATTTGTTCTCTCTTTAAAAATAACGTTTTTCGTGGACAAAAAAAGACAAAAAGCGAAAAAGGAAAACGCTGCTGATTGGTTGGAGTATTCACACTTCCGAGTTTTCCTGGTGCTTTCTTATTTTATGGGGACATATTTGATTTTACATTTTTATTTAGCCGAAAATAACACAAGTAAGTTGATAAAATGAATTATTTAAATTAGAATCGTACCTTATTATTAACCTCCCTCCCCAAGACTAGAGTTGGAAACCGGCGGGGCCTAACTTATATGAACTTAATTTTTATAAGCCCGACCCTTATGAATTTAAATTAAAAAATCCGGTTACCTAATTTTATTTAAAAGTTAAAACTCGGCCTTTATTTAAAAGGTTCAGAGCTCATAAGCCCGTTTATAAAAAAAATAAAATAAAATTTAACATTTTAATTTACTTAAAATATTTTAAAATTTAAGATACATCAAATCAAAGTCTCACATAATTTAAAAAATAAACTCAAAATTTAAAAGTTCAAATAAAATAAAGACAAAAGTCATTATTAATGCTAATCAAGATCTCCCTCATCATCATTCACAAATAAAATGTTATTTCCAACTCTATCATAGGTCTAAAAGTGAGAGATTGAGAGACCGAGTACGAATGTGCTGTGTAAGGTTTCTTTGGAGGTTGAAAGTCCAACTCCAATTCAATTATTCCCCAAAGTCCAATATAAAAGCAAAAAAAAAAAATTAAACGGGCTTGATGGGCTGTCCGGGCCCGAGTCCTTTTTTTAAGGTTTAAGGGTCGGGCTTCAAAATCCAATTATTCTAAAAAATATCAAATTTTTAAGTCTAAACTTTTATTAAAATGAGCTTAAATGGGCGGCCTATCAAGCCCGACTCTTATTCCCAACTCTACACAAGACCCATCCAGTTTTCTTTTTTAAAAAAATTATGCAAAATAAAATTTTGATAATGAAAAAGGTGGTATGGGACCCACACTAGAAAAATTAATAATTTCACTGGTTAATTTTTTTTATTATTATTATTTTGTCATTTATGAAATGAAGTAGTATTGCTTCAAGCCTTCAATTTAACCACTCAGTAGTAATGTAGTATTCGATTTTTTAAGATGGCTCCAAAAGTTATATTTAAGAAAAAAAACTTAAGGACGTCACAATAATTAACCCAATTTTTGGCAGTCTTTTTTCTATCATTTGGTATTTTGGGAGGATTTTTCTATCGTAAAAAAAAAAACTAGTAAGAAAATTTAGAAGAAAAAAATCCTACTATTAACATACTTTTATGAGGTTTGATATTTGTACGCAATTTTTAATTTCTTTTTGATTTATTTAGTATGTTGTTTGACATGCTATTTGATGTCTAAATAACTATTTATTTTTTATCATTCATAATAATAAAATAATAATAATTTCAATTAGATGACTATTTCATATTTACATTTTACTCTTCGAATAACAACCTTTTCCTCTTAGAAGTAGGTCTCCCTATAATTTACATTACAAATTAATAGCTGATTGTAAATTTTGGAAAAAAATATTTAGACTATTTGATTTGATGCTTTTAATCAATGATAGTTACACGTTGTAATATTATATATTTATCTTTTTGAAAAACAAGTTTAAATGTATAATAACTGAAAAGGAAAATTTTTTTACTATACATATATATTTTAGTGTCTAACTGGATTTTTTACGGAAAAATATTAAAAGAGTCTGTAAATTAAAAATTAAAATAAATAGATAGATTTCAAACTATTAAATTATTATGTCTTTTCTTCGATGGAACGAAGTTTCCAATATTTATTCAAAAAAATAAATTAAATTATAAAAAAAAAATAAATTGATAAATTATGAAATATTAATTTTTAAAATATTTTTGAACTTTTTTAAATCAAATTAAACAATTTCCCCCTAATCCACCATCGAGGTTACCAATCAATTAAACAAAATCTCCCCGAATGAATCACAGCGACGGCTCACGCTAGAAGAAGCAAAAAAAATTTGACTTCAAACCTACCCTTCCAGACCAGAAACCTTTTCAAAAAGAGAGAATGACAAATAAGAGGTTTTAAAAATATTAATGTCAAATTAAGACTTTTCAACATTAATATTTCAAAATTTCAATACACCTTCTATTATATTTCAATACTAAAATTCCTAACTTGATATTAATATTTTTATAAAATCTTTACTTATCATTTTTTCTTTAAAAAATTTGGGTATTATCAAATTTCAAATTGACTTTTCAGACCCAAACTTCAATTTGGGTGTTATTCAAACGCGCCCTACACTTGGCCGAGGATACAGTGTACTGGGGGAAATGACTAAACATGTAGCAACTGGCAGGGTCATTAGAAAGCAATTGCAAGGGTATCTCGGTAAACTTCAACCCTTGCTGCTAAATCTGAGGAGAAGTAATTTTTGTGCGGTAGCCAAGGGGAACAAACGATACAGGAAAACTTTGTCGAAATTTCGATAGAATGCCGACATTCGAGTGCCATGTTAGTGCCTCTGGTCTCGCTCGTTTGTTTTCTTCTTGTCTTTCTTATTCAGAAGAAAAAACTAGTTTCTGAACCTCCACTAGTGAAATGACATTTTGGCTTGCACATCTAATCAAAGTTGTCAACTTTTAACGTAATCCTGGAAAGTGGTAGCTTGTAATGTAGAAGCATTGGAGATGATTAAATGACAAAAGTTCATCACCTAGATACTTAAGAAGCACAGCAGTGATAGCTTAAAAGTCATGCAAGTCATGAGTACTGCCCACATAACCGCATAGTACCACAACAGCCCGAAAAACGAAAGCCTAGTAATCACCTCACGGGTACCAAGATAGTACTATCCATCAAGTTCTGCACTTCTCTACAAAACATATCAGAAACACGATATGCATAACCTATAGAAAATTAAATCCCCTCAGGAATATATATATATATATATATATATCCTGTCATTAATTTCCGTAGCATCAGATGTTCCGCTCAGCTAATTTGGATACTATCAACAAACCTTCCGCTGCGGCTGGTTCGACCAGCAAAACCGGACATGCTTTTGCATAATGTTCCACCTCCTCAAGCGAGGCACTTAATAAACATACAACACTGATATTAAAGGACCAAAACATTGTACAGTACCGCTTTTCCTCTCCTTTTTCTCTTAACACAGCAACTGCTCATCAGATACGGAGCCACAAATTGATCCTTGCAAATGTCATACAGCAAATTCTCGCTATTCCGCCCTTTTTTCTCCCACGATCAAAACATAACTATATCAACACATTAAGTCCCAAAATTTAGAGGCATCTCAACCACTACTGGACAGAAAAAGCTTGGACAGTCTTAGCTTAAGCCCCCATATCTTATATACGATCACCTATGAACAGGGCGAACTTTGCCATAAACTTGGCTTCCTCTCCTTTTTCGTCAATCCTTTTCATGTGATTGTTTCTTACCAAATACAACAACTTCAATTCTTTTTCAGTTTTTGTTTTAGTAATCTCTTATTTCCTTCACTTGAAAATATCTTCTCCATCTTTTGTGCTGATTATGCAACACACTCTCCATGCCATCACAATCTTCAACAGAAGAACGGCTTTTAACAGCTTGGCACCGAGAATCAACATACAAATTCAAGGCAAACAGTTCTAGCCAGGAGGATGGATTAACATGGTGTCTCATTGATCACCTGTGATACGTGCCATGTGATTTGAAGAACTGATAATCTGGGTGGTTCACCTGCAGCAATCTCAACCACTTATCTGCAGCCTGCAAGAGGGAATTAGCTTGCTGACTCTCACTGAGGCCATTTTGCATCCAAATAGATCCCTTTAACTTGTAGGAGGCCATGGCAAATGTGGGTAAGGAAATCATTGGCTCTCCATCCATGTCATTGGGAAAAACCAACGTTGGAGTCTGAGCCTGAGTTGGTCCACTTCCTGCAAAATTTAACCAATAATTTATTTCTGAAGATAAATTAGTTTATATTGCATCCCAATTAAAATTAAAATAGACAATATAATTCAGATTTCTTTGGGTGGGTGATGGTAATATGCCAGGCTTCCTAGGATAGCGATGGAATACCCAAAAAAAAAAAAAAATGATTGACAGTATAGAAACACAGAAAACAATTATTTCTGCATAACAGATGTTGTAACATCAATTAGCCTTCTGAGTTATGTATCATTAGCATCATTTTCTTTTTCCCATTGTAATTTCAGATCATAGAGTTTCCAAGAGTGTCAAACCCACACCAAGGGACCTCAGATTATGAAAACAAAGGTGAAACGCAGAAAAAAGGAAGAGTCAAAACTTAAAATAAGATGAAAATTAACCATAGTGACCAGTCCACTAAACATCAAAGGAAAGATGGATATTTGTAACATCTGCCATATTTCGGTGGTAAGAATTCTCTGCATAACTTGAAAAACCTCAAAAACCTAGATCTTCTCAAACTGATTTGGCATATTGTTTTCCAAAGAAAGAAGACAAGCAACGCTTGATCAATACAAAGTCAACAGTTTATGATTGGGAGTACCAAGTCTCCATATCTTCCTCTATCAGAAACAAAAGACTGTAAACAAAACAAAGGAACATCTGTCAGTAAATGAATATATCATTGACAACTATCTTGGCATATTTGGACTAAGGTTTCTCTCCCTCACTCTTATCCCAAAGAAAATTAAGATTAAACCCAAAAAAAAAAAAAAAATTCCCCTCTCCCTCCTCCATCCCTTACTGTGTCTGCAGCGGTAATCAACCAGATGTTAGTCACCTAAACCAAAATTTGCAGTGCTTATTTTAATGTACGCAAATACACGCAGATGAATACAATATTTTGAATAACAAATGTTGGACTATCATCAAGTATTCTAAAGACAGCTCACACCATTAAAATATCTCATATTCAATGACGAAATAAAATTATTTTTCTTGAAATAATTTTCAATTTCTGAAAGGTATGAATCTGAAAGGGCATAAAGCCACAAACGAAGGGGAAGAAAATCAAATTGGGTGGTTAAATCTATATAAATAGTGATCCCAAATTAGCACTAAATCTCTATCAGGAAGGCCTAGAATTCCAAACATGTCAAAATAGGCTAATAATCAATAATTACCTGTCAAGGGTGTATGAAGTGTATGGTATGTCAAAAAGCAGGCATCCAAATCTTTTAATGTCGGGCCTGTGGGTATTCGATAGATAGGATACCTAGAAAATAACATTAAAGAATGTTAATTGACGCAAAAAAAATATCATTAAAACATTATATCAAGTTAATCTTACCATGCGACAGACATCCAACTGGCAGACAATAAATCACAGCTTCTCAAAGTCTTGAGGCCAGCGTAGTGGCGTGAAAGATCTATTACCTGTCCAAATATTATTAGTGTAAGATGGACTGTTTATATCAAGTGCAGATAAATAACACATTAATTAAGCTCAGTACTAGCCTTGTCAGCCAGTGGTTCACGGCTGTAAGGAGGGTCTTGCTCAAAATACTCAAATACAAGTAGATCTTGGCGATTTCCTGTATCACTGTCATCACTAGAAAATCCTTCTTGCATTGCATTGTGTTTATCATGTACAGACAGCCCTCTCATTCGTAAAGAGACATCACCTGTAAGATGTTGACAACTTCTTTGTGCTGCAGAGAGTTCAGTACTTTTTCCTATTTCAAAGTCACTACTTCCATCGCTACTTGAATCCCTACAGCAATCACCATCACTATCTTCACCAACGTACCTAATCAAATAAGAAAATTAGATCTTCCAACAAGCAGAAAGACATTCACATGCTATAAAGTGTACATGAAAATATGTAACGCTATAATAGCTCAAGAGTAGAAAAAATGAGCCTGCTGAGTTATAGAAATATATGCAGAGACACAACGAATATACGTACAAGAATCAGTGACCACACACATAAGGTGGAAGCAGCAATCAATAGATTGATATGTTGAACATGAATCATATGCTGGCCAAAAAGGAAGGAGGAGAGCTCAAATTTTGCCAAGAATTGAGAAGGTCAAATGAACAAGAAGTAAAAGTTTACAAATTTGAGGATGTAAACATTTGTTTTACGACAACCAAGGAATTATATGTGTAAAAAGAAATGGATGTCAATTTGAAACGCTATTATTATGTTTTTCTACTTTCTGCTCTGCCAATAGAAGGCTAACCAAATTGCAATCGGAAACAAAAATCAAAATCAAACACATCTCACTTTCTATTAAAGGAAGGTCACAATCTCATTTTCGCAGAGTTCACCTTAAGTTGAGAACCATTTCGAACTCTTTCACTTCCTCTATCGATGGACAAGCAAGAAATTCGATTTTCCTTTCACTTTTTAACCCGCACTATCAACTATCATGAACTAAAATATCGTTAACAACTAATAATCGCATTAACAAACAAATCATGGAGAGGAGAAAAAAGAGAGTAATATCTGTTGAAATTGACACACACACACATACAGGCAACGTATATTGCATACACACAGATTCACTTTGATCAGTAACAAAGGGACTCCTGCCCCATATACACTCCACTCCTTAAACGATTCCCAGAGATCATTAAGGGTGAAGTAAGACTGATACTCAACATCACAAGTCTTCCAGCCTCTCATTGTTGTCTACACCCCACAAAAAGAAGAAACAGAAGTCAAAATTCATATGGTGATCTCAGGAACTCTGGATATCAAACATTGCAGCCGTGCGCAAATAATTAAGCGGTTGAATGTAAAAGGATGAAAGTAGTGATAATTATATCCTAAGCTAGTCTATTGTTTCTGATATGTAATATTCCATCTCCAGTACATGCACTGATGACCAGACAAGTCCCGTAAATGTTGTTTGTTGTAACCTTAAGTCAAAAAAAGTTGAGTTCAAATTAAATATGCAAGTCATTTTCGTGGCTGCCTTCCGATTCCCAAAACAATCAATAAAAGAAATGATTAGATCAACCTTAGAAAAATACTGAGCCGGGACCAATGGCCTTGTAGACTCCACAAACCTATCAATATTACCAGCAGGCATTACAGACGGACAAGAAGGTGGTTTTGTCAACGAATATGAAGGCTCATTGGAATTCTTATTCTGAAGCAACATCTTTGGCCTTGGGAGTAGAATCAGCAGATCCAGTTTCCCCGTTTTTAGCTCTCTGTGCTTGTTTACGCTGATTTTGGCTCTTCCTTGCCTTCACGGGATGTAAAACCGATCCTCCCCGCGAACACCCCCAAACTGCAGGGCAGTCCCAAGCATTTTTCGACCCAACGGGTGGCTTCTCCTCCGCCTATTTACCGAGGATAGGATGAAAGAAAGTTTCAGGTGATAAAAAGAAAAGCCAAATCCTCCTCCTCCTTCTTTTTTCTTTTTCCCTTCCACACTCAGAATCCCAGACAAAATCTTCCAATGACTGACGAACAAAAACCCAGATAAATTAATGGAAATCGAATTTATCTGGGCCTTTCAACTCCTAAAACAGTTTTCTCAGCCTAGAGAGAGCTATAGAGAATCAAAAAGAATTACGCGGATTACTCTAACTTTCTCAGGTAGTTGGGCAGTTTCTCAGTAACCAAACGCAGCAGAAAGCCCCCAATCTGATTCTAAGCAAATCCCAAACCGCATATAAGTGATCAGATGAGACGGAAATTAAAAAAAAAAAAACCAGAAATTTGAGAAACTTGGAACGAAGGAAAAAAGGATCAAACGCAGGATCAGAATGATTGGAAGCGAAGGAGTATGAGTTGAAAGTGGCTAGTTTTGCGGGGAATGAAGGAATATATGGGTGACGAAAAAAGAAGGGAGCGATGGGAAATGAAAAAGCTTGAACCTCAGTGTCTCACGAAAGAAAGCAGAGAGGAATTCCTGTTATTTTGCCTACGAGATTAACTATTTATTTGTTTTTGAGCCTATGGTAAACAAGCAAATAAGATGCTTGTGTTGTGGCCGTGGGCGATTAAATAATTATATGCAAATTGTGGGGCCGTTGTTGAATTGGTTGGAGAATTGGTAACAAGTAATAAATAAGGATTTGGCAACATGGCATTGCATCGACACATGTGGCGATGAGTAGGTGAGACACGTGCATTTAACCAAGTTTGTATTTCTGTGTCAAACGTGTCAACCAGTTGAGGCTGCCACGTGGTGCTACAACCTTTTACTGACAGGCAGAGGCTCCTCTTTTTCCCCTCCCGGAAGTAGGGGTATTCAACCTAGATCCATTCCGATTGGCCCGATATCATCCGGATTATATCAGAACAGGTCTTGTTCCGGCCCGAAATAATCAAGACGGGACTTTACAGACGGGACAGGAAAGGGGTTCGGGACGGGACGGGACACGAGATTACCATCGGGACGTCCCTCCCGTCCCGAATATTATATATATTATTTTTTATTTTAAATATATTAATTATATTAATATAATTTATACTTATCTTATTATATCAATTATAATTTTAATACTTGCAATTCTTATTTAAACTAAAGTTTTTTATATTGATAATTTTAATGGCTTGAGTAAATATGGCGATATCTTTTCTTTATAATATAGTAATTGTATTAATATAATTTATTCTTATATCTATCTATTTAATAACCTTTATTTATAACATATTTCTTGCTTATTTTTAGAAGAGTATAGCTTAGTACATCTTCATTAAAGTAGAAGAATGATGATTTGATGTTGTGTTTGACTTGCCTGTTGTTGTTAATCTTATAGCATAAAGATCACTTATATTTATTATTATAATATGTAGTTATGATTAATATATTCAATAATTGATTTTAAATTATTGTTATTTATGTGCTTGTGTTGTTTTGATTTTAAACTTAATAAATTAAATATGATTTAAAATTTAATAAACGTTATATTCAATCTTTTTTCGATATTATTCTATTTTATCCAGGACGGCGGGACGTCCCGATCTTGTCTAGGTCCCGTCAATGGGACGGGACGACTATCGGGACGGGACGTCCCGATCTTGTCTAGGTCCCGTCAATGGGACGGGACGACTATCGGGACGGGACGGGACACGGGACCAAAATTCAGTCCTGATCTTTTTTTTGGGACGGGGGTGTCCCGGTCCCGTCCCGTCCCGTGAACACCCCTACCAGGAAGGTTAAGAATGGTCTCCAATGCTGGTTTCCATTTCATATAAACTTTACAAGGCAAGCAATAGCTTGAAGTAAATTAAAGAAAAAAAATATAAGTTCATTTTGTTAGCTCGCTATAAAGATTGGACAGATCTTGGATCAACTGCAAACATGAAATTCATTTTATGGGATGGGCATTACTTCGGCAATATTTTCACAAATAATTCTACCCTTTCTGTATCTCTATTTTTGAAGATTAGAATATATCAATATTTGACAATTATCTCATGATGATGCAGTGTACTCTCACAATCTTTGTCTGGTCAAGAGATTAAAAATGCAGTTTTTTTGTTGCCACAAAATTCCTCCGTGGGCCCTGATGGTTTTCATGCCAGTTTTGTCTGGTCAAGAGATTAAAAATGCAGTTTTTTTGTTGCCACAAAATTCCTCCGTGGGCCCTGATGGTTTTCATGCCAGTTTCTTCCAAAAAAAGAAAGAAAATTTGGGACGTGGTGGGCAAAGATACTACTGATATAGTTATATATATATATATATATATATAAATACACATACATACATGGGACTCTAAGTTCATCCTTGGTCATTGAACAGAAGTCATATCACTCTAACTCCGCCTATGTTTATAGCCGGTCCCAGCCCGGGTTAAAGGAGGAGGGTTGTGTTAGGCCATCAACAGCCAATGTAAAAATTGTTTGAATCTATCATGAACATGGACAATAGCGTTATAATGTTAATGCTAGGTCGTTGCCCGTAAGTAACACGCTGCATGGCTCGAGTACAGTGATAAGTGAGTTAGAGCCGCTGCATCGGCGCCCGGATGTAGTGTTAAATGAGCAAGGGCTACCGCGTCATTCTGGACGCACGCGGCTAAAGAAGTTAGTCCATAAGAGCAAAATTAGATTTGGTACTTGGAATGTTGGGACATTAAATTGTAAATCTGTAGAGGTTGTAGGGGTTATGATTCAAAGGAAAAAATATCATTTGCTTGCAAGAAACAAAATGGCGTGGAGAAGAAGCTAAGGATATTCAAGGTTTCAAACTTTGGTATACAGGAAAAGTAAGTGCACGCAATGGAGTAGGCATCATTATAGATAAGGAGTGGAGAAGAACGTTGTTGTAGCAGTTAGCAGAATTGGAGATAGAATTATTTCTTTAAAAATGATAATTGGACGTGAGACTGTTAATATTGTTAGCGCTGCGCCGCAAGTCGGGACAGAAGCCAGTCTTAAGGAATTATTTTGGGAGGATCTAGAGGGGTTGATTCGACACATACCACAGAGTGAAAAGATTTTTATTGGAGGAGACTTTAATGGGCATGTCGGGAGGGAAGCTGGTCAGTATGCGCGGGTGCATGGTGGTTTGGTTTTGGAGAGCTAAACAATGAAGGACAAACTCTTCTTGATTTCTCATTGGCGTATGATTTTAAGATTGCCAACACTTGTTTCAAGAAGAGAGATGAGCATCTCATCACTTACAAAAGTGGAGCCTCAAGGTCGCAGATTGATTTTCTTTTGGTTAGGAACACAGATAGAAAACTTTGTAAAAATTGTAAGGTGATACCCGGAGATGCTGTACGACACAACATAGGGTCCTAGTCCTTGATGTGTGTATTATGAGTAAAATCCAAAAACGTCGAACAAGTAGTAACACCAAGGATTAGGTGGTGGCAAATAAAAGGTGAGAAGCAAGATATTTTTCAAGCGAAATCTTTTGGATAAAGGAATTTGGGATTCTCAGGGAAGTGCTAACATTATATGGGAGGATATGGCTAAAAAGATACGGGAAGTTGCAAAAGTAGTTTTGGGAGAATCGAAAGGTTCTGGTCCGAGAGATAAGGAGTCTTGGTGGTGGGAATAATAGTGTACAGGACAAAATCAGTATAAGAAGAACTGTTTTAAAGCCATACATTTGTGTAACAAGAGGAAAAATGGGAGAGGTACCGTTGGCTAAGAAGGAAACTAAGAGAGCTGTGGGTGAAGCTCTTCTAAAGCTTTTGAAGAATTTTATAAGAACCTTGAGACGAAGGAAGGAGAGCAAAATATTTCTAAGATTGCCAAGAGTAGGGAAAGAAAATCAAGAGATCTAGAACAGGTAAGTTGTATAAGGATGAAGAGGGAAGAATTTTAGTTACAGATGATGAACTTCAAAATGATGGGAGACTTTATTTTTCTAAACTTTTCAATGATGGGAGGATTTAGTAACTGGTGAAGGAGAACAAATTTGTCATTCTATCGAAAAATACGTGATAAGGAGGTAAAGGAAGCTCTTAAGAAAATGGCAAATGATAGAGCCAACGGACCTGATTGTATATCTATCGAAGCGTGGAAATGTTTAGGTGAAGAAGGGGTGAGATGGTTAACTAAGTTATTTAATGTGATTTTACGGTCCAAGAAAATGCCTGATGAGTGGAGGAGAAGTACATTAATTCTTATTTTAAAAATAAAGGAGATTCAGAATTGTACTAACTATAGAGGGATTAAACTCATGAGCCACACAATGAAATTGTGGGAGAAAGTAATTGAGCACAGGTTGAGATTGGAGACAAGTATTTTTGAGAATCAATTTGGTTTTATGCCAGGTAGATCAACTACAGAGGCGATTTATCTACTAAGGGGATTAATGGAAAGTATCGTTGTAAAGATAAAGATCTACACATGGTTTTTATTGATTTGGAAAAAGCTTATGACCGTATACCAAGAGAAGTGCTTTGGAAGCGTTGGAAAAAAAGGGAGTACGGATTGCTTATATTAAAGCCATACAAGATATGTATGAGGGGGGTAAAAACTAGTATAAGAACGCCTAGTGGTCAAACAAAGGATTTCCTATAAAGATTGGACTACATCAGGGATCATCTCTGAGTCCTTATTTGTTTAACTTGATTTTAAATGTTTTGACGGAACATATTCAAGAGGAAATCCCGAAATGTATGCTCTTCGCGGATGATATAGTTCTTATAGCAGAGACAAGAGAAGAGGTTAATTGCAAACTTGAGTTATGGAGGAGGACATTGAGTCGAAAGGTTTTCGTCTGAGTAGAAGTAAGACGGAATATTTATATTGTAAATTTGGTAAAGGACTATTCGAAAATAATTGGAAGTGAAATTGGGAGATCAAATTATACCTCAAGTGGAAAAGTTTAGATATTTGGGAGCCATTATTCAAAATGATGGCGAAATCAGTGGAGATATTTCACATAGAATTCAAGCTGGTGGTTTAATTGGAGAAAAGCTAGAGGAAAGCTAAGGAGTTTATTTGTGACCGTAAGGTGCCTAAGAAAACTTAAAGGAAAGTTTTATCGTACTGCTATCAGACCGGCAATGTTATATAGTAGTGAATGCTGGGCTCTAACGGGCAGCAAGAGCATAAAGTTGGAGTAGCAGAGATGAGAATGTTACGATGGATGGCGGGACATAACGTAAAGATAAAATTCGAAATGAGCACATACGCGAAAAAGTGAGGGTGGCACCTATTGAGGAAAAAATGGTAGAAAATCGATTGAGATGGTTTGGGCATGTACAAAGAAGACCAAGGAGGCACCAGTGAGAAGAGTGGAACATATAAACTTTGAGTCCGATTAAGAGAGAGGTAGACCAGTGAGAAGAGTGGAACATATAACTTTGAGTCCGATTAAGAGAGGTAGAGGAAGGCCTAAGAGAACACTCTTGGAAGTTGTTGAACGTGATCTCTTAATTAATAATATTTCTAAAAGCTTAATAAATGATAGAGCACAATGGCGTCTTGCAATCCATGTAGCCGACCCCACCTAGT